TTTCTGTGAAAGTAGAAGATATGGTTTGGTTGAAACGTTCACAAATCACGAAATTTTGCGACGCCTCAGCAAAATTGAAACGACGCACTTCCACGGGATTAAGGGAAAACAATAGTTGCGCTATTGACTAAGTAAGTCTTTTTTAAAGGCGAGCGCTTATATTAACACCCTTTGTTATTGTTATGTTTTACTGTTTCTCATTGTTGCAAATGATGTGTATATGAAGCAAATTCATTTTACCATTTTATGTTATTTACTTTCTGTTACGTAGGGTTTCTTGATACGTAAGATAAGAGGTAAACCTTACAAGGCCTACATGCTGCAATTTCATAGGCTGCAGTTTATTCATTTGCTAAACCGAGATTATCGAACATGAGTTTTTTTCAGCATTTTGAACCTGGCAGAGGTAAGAAAGAAACGTTAACCTTCTGCCTTTATTTCTTAGACCTACATGTTTGAAAACATCAAAAGACATAAAGTACATATTAACGATGACAAAATTGTGTTTTGTTTTGAGGCAGCTTATTTTTCGTGTAGGTGCGCCATGAGTTTTTCTCCAGATAATTTGGCGTCGCACAAACCGTTACCTTATGCTAAGTTTGATCTATAAGAGTAAACAATTCGAGATGAGGACCATGTCGTCGGTGGCCAGACATCAGAATCCATCATTCAGGCCTGCATAAACAAACATTGAACAACGGCTTGACTGGACTTGACTATGCAGCAAAAGCATTCGCACCCATTACACTGAATAATTGAGTAACGTTAATCTGAATGAATATGTGCTCTTTTTTTTTATTTGGTAGCGATATATAGTTGAGAATTAGCTGTGCCAATAAGACATGAAAAATGTATATTTGGAACTGTTCAGCATTATTAATGTGGACAAGGGCCTCAAAAAATTGAATATATCAAAAGGGACCGCGAGCTCAAAAGTTTGGGAAGCCCTGGCCTAAAGCCATGGCTTTCTACGATGGGACTAAAACGACGGTCTTCAACAAATTTTGGCCTTTTTAATTTGGCAATCTGATCGAATAACAAATATTTTTATTGGTATTAAGTCAGCTTCTGTAGCCTATGCCACATTTGAGCCATTTTCTAACGTTAAACTCCAATTTGTTTGTATTATTTTTAATGCTTCATTATTCTTTATTGCCACATTTATGCCATTTTTACTGTTAAAACTCCATTTTGTTTGTATCATTTCCAAAGCTTAGATATATTCATAATTTTTTATTGCCACATTTATGCCATTTTTTAATGTTAAAACTCCATTTTGTTTGTATCATTTCCAATGCTTGGATATATTCATAATTCTTTATTGCCACATTTATGCCATTTTTAATGTTAAAACTCCATTTTGTTTGTATCATTTCCAAAGCTTGGATATATTTATTATTCTTCATGAACATGTGCTATCGCGGGAAAAGAAAGCATATCAGTTGCAAAATGATTTTTTTTTGCATTTCTGGTATAGTTTTCTAATGAATGGTTCATTGATAGTCCAATATATTGAGTTTATTGAACTTCTTACCGTTAAAATCTTTAATTCAATATTATGCAATAGTTGCAGAGTTTTAGTGCGCAATTAACCACAGGGTTTTAAGTTTAAGTTCAGTCATCCATATTACTTTATGCCTTTGGAAACCATTTCTGTCCGATTCTGATTGATTGGCGATCTGAATACGTATTGTTTTCACGTTTGGTTGACATAATGAATTGTAAACCAATAATGAAACCTTTGCTATACTGAAGTTTAGTATTTTGAGAGAAAAGGCGTTTCGATGGGAACTCCTGTTTCCCGTCTCAAGCAATTGTTATAAACCTCATTTTTCTCAACTTGAAGTGTGATTAGTATATAAAATCTGACAAATGAACAAAATCGTTTTCAATTTCAAATACAAGAGCTTTTTATATAGGAAAATCAACATTCGTAACATTGGAATATCAAAGCTTATATTGACACGTATAATACAGATACCTTTTTGGCAAATGGCCCAGTTGGAAGCAACTGAACTACATTAGGAAATGTGCCTCCATATTATTTTCTTGTGTTAAGCCATAATAAAGAAACAAATATTCTTTTCAAATATGATTTAGTATTCATGAAAAAACCTATTTCAGTAAATATCCAAGGACACTGTAGTAACACCAGGCTTGTCCATTGGAACCGTCCCATGGCATGGGATGGGACAGCACACATTTGTAGTTCCCATGGGTTACGAATACCGTATGATTTTTGGGGAAATGATAGTAAAACATTTTGTTATGTACTTCGTACTCATATATTTGAGAATAACTCTCTTGTTAGTTATAATAGTCAAAATATATTCAGCATTAACAATGTATTTCGTTAAGGGGCTAATGGACACTTGTATAATAGTTATGAATATAACTGATAATATATCATATATGAGTTAACAAAATCATCAAATTTTGTTGTCTTGCATGTCTCTTTGTACATGTAATCTTATTTAGTAGACGTTAAACCTAAATTTAACAATTTTTATTGAATTGTATTCCAATGGGACTGGCATAATTGCTATCGGATGGGAATGGGACAGAAAATATGTCCCATGGACAAGCCTGATTAGCACTCATATAAACCTATTGATGTTGAATATTGTAATGCAAATATATACATAACATTAAAAGGGCGCCACCAATATATACAATGCTTACCGGCCTTTTTTGCTTCAGGGTCAAGTTTTGTTCAAGTTCATCACATTTCAAATATTTGAATCTATAAATTCTTTATTACACCAGGCGCCATTACATATCAACCATGCTGAAGCAGCGAGTTTGAATATAGCAGTCGAGATTCGGAATACTATCTTCGTGTATCGCAAATATTTAGCTAACTGGTCATCTTTGATAAGAACCACGATTAATCACAGTTCTTTCACACACACATTGCTTACAGTGGATGCGAAGGGTCTAACTGAATTCGATACTGATATCAGCATAGGCAGCTGGAGTTAAATTTCGTTCAGTGGAAAATTTTTTATTTACGTATTCTCAACGAAAGGCATATATTTACAACTTGTATTTTTACAAACATTTGCGTTCCCATACTGTCGTTGAATTGGTTTTCAGGTGATTTCTGTGACCAAGGCAGAGCAATATGAGCAATATGACTAGCTCAATATTTGGAGAGAAGAAGATTACGCATTGCAGTTTATTTGTAACTTTAATAGTAATGTTTGTTCGGCAAGCTCTAAAACCGACCGAGGGTGGTAAAAAATGAAAGGATACTGTTCATTGGAGAATACAAAGCAATTTTGTTTAATGCTTGGATATATTTATCATTCTTAATTGCCACATTTATGCCCCTTTTTAATGGTAAAATTCCATTTTGTTTGTATCATTTCCAAAGCTTGTGGATATATTCATAATTTTTTATTGCCAAATTTTAATGTTAAAACTCCATTTTGTTTGTATCATTTTTAATGCTGGGATATGTCCGTAATTCCTTATTGCCACATTTATGCCATTTTTTAATGTTAAAACTCCGTTTTGTTGTTATCGTTTCCAATGCTTGGATATATTCATAATTCCTTTAGGCCACATTTATGCCATTTTTGATTGTTAAAACTCCATTTTGTTTGTAACATTTTCAATGCTGGGATATATTCATTATATTCGTTTTCGAGTTCTAGTTATTAATCAATTAACTATGTGCATTCATCATATCTCGGACCAAAAGCCTATTGATTTTGGATGAATTATGTCGTATAACTATCGATGTATTAATTAATTAATTATTCTTTTTTTGGGGGATCGATAAGTCGACGGTCTCCGATTGCTATCTCGTTATTAGTTTGTTCATTAGCGAGGTTCTATCGGTGTGGTCACTGGCGAAAAATTACATGAAACGCTTTATCCCACATTTTGGACTAAACATTGTTTGTACGCAGGTGAAGGTAAATATAGAAGATTACAATTAGTATAAACGGAATTAATTTAGGGCTTGGTAATAAAATGAAGTGGACTCGATATTGAATCCGAAATCATAAATATGCATAGACTTGACTCAAAAACAAATCCCTAAGTTCGGCATTCGGTTGTCGCAATTAAAAAAGGATAAAATCCAAATGGGAGAAGTGGCTGAAATTTCTTCCAATACAATGAGGTGATTCGAGTTGAAAGGCTCAAATTATGACTGATGAAATACGTACTGACATATTGAGATGGTTGATGTTGCTAAAATATCATGAAAACGGGTTAAGATTTAGAGTTTTTGTACTCGAAAGTATTGCAGATGAACAAATCATTTTGTTTCCTCGTTACTATTGTTCCTCGCCCCTATAATCTCGAACAATAAACAGCAACTTACTTGCGAGTTAATCATTGTCTATTCTAGTTATGGTTTTGCTTTAGTTTTATTTTACGAGATTTGTTGCTTGATGTTATTAATATTAGTTAATAGATAACGATGTAATCTAATTTTTAAAATTAGATGGTAGTAATTCAAAGATATTTGGAGTTGATCAGATGTCGCGACTATAAAAATTTGAAACCTACTGATTCTAAAAAATTAGACAAAAAGACGTTGTGCTTACGAGACGAAAATTTAGGAAAAAAGTCATTTTGAAAATATAAACTGTTATGCGGAATACACACGAGCATTGTGGTGAGTGGCAGAGATTTTTCAAAACAAACACGGCCAAGCAACACGCCTTTAACAAGGAAAAATTATCAATTGTTTTTATTCTCGATTCGATTCCTTCCTTTATGCTGTCCAGTATATTACATTACTTAAGTAGCGAACTTAATGTTTATTGTCTGTATCGCTGACAGTTTCATTCATATAATGGTGTACGTATAGATGTCGTTTTGAGTTCAATTCGATTCATTATTTTGGTATAATTTTCGTTTTAGGGGGGAGGGGGTCATTGAGATTTGTGTAGATTGTAAAATATCATCTTATTATAATAGATACTTTCAAACAGGTATTTTGGCAGAAACTCCAACCTCTTCACTCTCATTTATCCAGCGTGTTTTAATATATTTACTAGCATGTAGTTTAAATACTTCTGATCTGAACAAATATTGACCAAGAAGGGCACGGAATTTCACGAGATATTTTTATCAGTCTGGCAATGCAGTCAAACTCCAGAAAATTTCCAATTCAGTTTGTTCTTTTCTTGACCCTTTTACTCGGGGTAGTGATTTGGATATTAGCTGTGTCGCGTAATTGTTTGTACGAAAACTACTCGAAATATTTTGTTATGCCGGTCAATTCGACAGAATTAACTTCAACATTGCAAATCCAATACACGGAGCAGTGGCCTAAAAAGGAAAGAACAGATTTCAACCTAACTGTATTACAAAATAAACTCGAGGAGAGACTCAAAGAAGCGACAGATAAAAAGGTTATTCCTATATTACTAGTTAAATGATTAAAATGGTAATATATCTTTGGGATTGTTTTGTATTATAAGGAATGACATGTGGCTTTTCATAAAAATCAAAAGGTAGCCTTTTCAACTCACGAATCTGATTAATTGTTAAGTTACTTGGCTTCTTTAAAATATTATATTGCCTTCCATTATAAACCAAACTACATAAGGATAAAAATTGGTCGAAATTGTGTTTAGCTACTATTTATTGATTTTTCACATTTTTGAACGAAATAATCAGCTTAATATTTCCATTTACACATATCAACATAAATTACCAAATTGAGTCTAACGTTGGTTTGGAAATAAGTTCGTCGCAAAATCGACTGCAGGTTGATTCGAGGCTCTATTAGGCCGAATTATTAAAAAACTACTTTAGTCAATCGGAAACTTTAAAATATTTCAATATAATCATGATCGCGAGCAATCAGTTAGAAGCAAAGTAGACTCATATAGCGTCATTTGTGACCAAACTTGCGAGTAAATACTGAAATGCAATGAGATGCTGAGATACTGAAATATCTTTATTAGAACAACTCCACTTGACTCTATAGAGTAGTTAAACATTTCCCCTAACTAGATCATGTAGGCCTACCAGAAACATTTCATATTAAAATTTCATTAAATTTTTTTCAGATTATCGTGATATGGACAGCCGGTATACCTTTAAAAGGTGGAGTGGTTGGCGGAGTATGTGGAAATTGCGAAGTTACTTTGAATAGAACAATGGCAAGTCAACAGCCTATTTTGTCTAATAATCTGTAGCGCTGTATAGTTTAAAAGTATTTTGCACAAATACATTTCAGAAAATTTGTTCCCCGTTATGTATAAATATTCTTATATATTAAATTCAATAGTGTTTATAATTTATTTTTATAAATGCATTTCAGATATCTGACAATAAAACAGCCGCAGTCGTTGTGTATTTTACCGGTGCTACACCAGAAAATATGCCTCCGCTAAGGTCGAGGTAAGAGTAAATTGAGATTTCTTGCACGTAATTGACAAAAATCACTTCCGTAATCACGGCAAAATCAATTACGTAAGGAGTGAATTCAAATTAATTTTATTCTGATTTTTGTCTTTTGTGTTAGCTTTGGTTTTCCTTTATCACCTTCGCAAATTACCCGTCCCATTTTTATGCGATCAATTTTATCATTACCGACACTGGTATACGGATATTTATGGAAACGATAGTTTTTTTAAATCGACTTTCGTACTGAATAAAAATTACGGGTTTCTAGTTTATTAACCAACGACGAGCGTATTCTCTCGTTTGATTATACTTGCGATTTCCTCGCCACGAAGACCTGTTTTTGGAGCGTTTTCTGCATTATCCGACATTACTGCCTTGTTATCATTTTATAATAATAATTATTGATGTCGACTTATTGACGATATTCCGAGTACCATGCTTGGGGCTCCCGAAGTATGCGAACCAAGATGGCGGATATCGGAATGTAATATGTGTACTAGGTTAGGGTTAGGCCATAATTTTAGGTATAAATACTACGGGAAGCTCTTGGCTAGTCTTCGAACTGATAATAGGACTAAAATAAGGAAAATTAGAAAAAAATTATCGCCTAACCCTAACGTGTTACCCATGTTACGTTCCGATGTCCGCCATCTTGGTTCGCATACTTCGGGAGCACCCCATGCTTCATTTTATATTTAATCATGTCGCGGACTGAATGTTTATAACATAATTTGCGATAAATTTAGATCAAATAATATTTATTTGCGTATAATTTAAATACCGAACTTATATGATATGCCTTCTCCGAAAATACAAAGTTATATCGCAAAACAATGCATTTTGTGACATTTATTTTACACTCACGACATTTATTTGCTAACTCAAGTCGGCGATCCTATCGGCCAAGATTGACACAAGTTTGGTCGAGTGCCGGTGTTATTCAAGTCGACGATAAATCAAAATAAGTTGCTGCATTTGGTAAGACAGTAAATCATATATGGCCGAAATATTGCGAGGAATTGTGAAAAACATCATGAGCAAGGCCAAGTCCGGACTGATATATAACGATAAAACCGTTAACAGAACATCAAGATTTTGTAATAGAAAATGGATCTCGCACAGAATAAGCACACTGGCTCATATTTGATTATATATGATAGCAGTTAAATTTTTAGCGGTCCGCGAGGAATCCATCGTTTTGTTGTTTCTCTGCCGTCTCAATCGTTTTACCGATGCCGAAAAGACGAAGTTGCGTTGGTTCATTACGCAATCTCTCTTTTGTCGTCATATTGCTATTTGATAAGCGCGACATTAATTATCACGGCGTGGTATTGGCGCGAGTGATCAATCGCTCTTTTCGCTTATTTGGTTCCAGTTCGTCGCGAAAGCTCTTCGTTAAATTTCACAAGATCGTCGTGTTGAAAGCTTATGGATATTTTCCTGTTTATACCCCAAGTCTGAAATAAAACAGCCAAAAACAGTATGATATTCCATGTTCATATATCAAGTGTTGATATCAACAATAAAGAATGGTTAAGCATTGCTAATCCACACTTGGTGGGGAATTCCCACTATTTAAACGCGTGACTATAAAATAGAAACGGAACATATATACCATAAGTAACGGAAAACTGGAACAAGTAAATAATAAATAAAAGCGGAACATATATACCATAAGTAACGGAAAACTGGAACAAGTAAATAATGAATAAAAGTAATAAATGGGTAAAAATGTTTGGTAGACCATATTTGATAGATTGATCTCCTGCGTTCATTAGTCATTTCACCTGAAGAAGTTGAAACCGGGCGTGTTAGCGTCCATCGGTCTTAACACAATTCTTTCCCCTATCTACAGTTATTATGTACATTGGCCATGGCCATGCTAGATAAGATGCGAGAGAAGTTGAAACCAGGTGTGTTGGCGTCAATCGGTCTCAACGCAATTCTATCCCTTATCTACGGTTAAGTTAAAACCAGGTGTGTTGGCGTCAAACGGCTCTACTCAGTTCTTCCCCCTTAACTACGTTAATAATTTACATTGGCCATGCCAGATAAGTTGATAATAGGTTAGTAAATGGCAACGCGTCATGCCTTCCTTCACCTACGTAACAAGAGAGAGAGAAAAAAGAGAAAAACGGCTGCGAATACCGGAACTCTAACTTCTTCTACTTGTTAAGCTTTCATTTTTCGCAATCGACGAAATTGACTGCTTTGAAGAAAGCTCGTTTCAATGCAATAATTACGACTTTACGTAATTCGTAACTTCCCTTCCGTAACTCCAAATAATTACGTAATTCCGTAAATCCGTAAATTACGTGCAAGCCTAAATTTGAAAAATAACATATTTGATAAAACTTTGAAAACTTGCGCTGCGAAGTCGATATAGACTTATTACTTACCGATTTTAATCGGTAAGTATGTTGATAGGTATTTGTATGTCTGTCTTTTGTGTGTATGTCTGTTAGATGCACACGATATCTCACGAAAGCGAGATTGAATCTGCTCCAGATTTTGCATGTGCATTCATCATATCTCGGACCAAAGGCCTATTCATTTAGGGCGAATTATGTCGTATAATTAGCGATTGATCCCCTAACTTTCGATCGATAAGTCTTCGGTCTCTGACCGATATTCTCGTGTTAGTGTGTTGTTGAGATGTTGAGTGATGAAGAATTTAATTTGATCGATTTGTTTTTTGAAGAACATGTGAAGTTTTCAAAAGTCGACATTGAAAGCAGTTAAAATATTCTGTGAAGTTTCTCGAGTTTATAATTATATTCAAACGGTATTCTGTTCCCCATTTTAATAATAGTTTAATTATCCTCAGATGGCATGGAACAAGAAAATGTCCCATAGACACGCCTGGTGCCTACTATCACAACCAACTCATATTCAATGGCTGATGGTTGTCGTGGAGTCGTTCATTATCACATTAAAATCGCATTCGCATGTAGGAAACGTTTATGGCACCACAACGGCGCCACAATCGTATAGAAAACGAAGTCCGACGACAAACGCGGATTATGTTGAAATCGCCGATTGTTTTCGTCAGTGCGACGTGCTATTCAGGCCGTAAACGCCTGCACGCCGGTATCTTCTTTAAATCATAAATTTTCTTCAACATAAGCATCGGCGATGGATTGAATATTTCATGCAACAGAAAAATTACTATCCGCAGAAACAGTCGGCTATTTAAAGGAGTGGCGTGATCGCGGCGATTGTTTTAGAAGTCGTCGTAAAAAAAAAAGGTTTTGGTTTCGATTCTTGATCCCCCACCCCCCCCCAAATTTTGCAACGCCTCTGTAGCATCCATGACAACAAGTGGCTTTCAAATTTTTGTCATTTTATTGTTGGTGTGTGACATTTACAATAAATCTAGCATTCTAGGAGGGATGAACAAATGCAGCCTATATCCATTCCATATATATTCCAGAGTATATTTCAGATCATCCTTTTAGAACGTATTCTAAATAGTTAAGTATTCGGTTTGGGCCATCACGCTGAAATATAGAAAGTCACTTTAGCAAATTCGCTAAAGAAGCTAATTTGAGAATATGAAATGATAATGCGATGAACCCCATACAAGTTATTCTTTCCGCAAAGGTTTGTGCTTGATTAACAAACAGTGACCAAATAGCACGAAAAGAATATGAAAACAGTACAAGCTTGTACGTGTAAATGAAGGAAAACTGTTTAACTGTTCAAAAACATCAGATGGAAGTAGCACTTTCGCCTAAATAGTTATGTCATGCAGTCATGAAGCAGTATATTCCTTCATAATCACAACCTCGTTCACGTGTTTTCCAGTTTAGCCATATCTCAATTCTCTATAAGCATGGATTGCGGTCGAAGAGACTCTTTAACATTGACCGGAGGTTGCCGGAACTGTTAGATCATTTAGGGCAATCAGTGACAAATTGAGATAATGTTTTATTATCACGCTATCATTTAACTGGATCAATTTCAGTATATCATTTATTACTTGCGACCGGTGCCACAGATTGTTTTGAACCAGTGGAATCCATACGCATTTGAAATAATTTCGTCACAAGACGTTTTTCATATTTTTATCAAATCAAAACAGTGTTTCGAAACCCCCCAGCCCTACTCCAGACTCGATATTATAAGTGTCGCTGGTCCAACACCCCGCGAGGACGGATCATCACCACTTCCGTTACATAAAATACATTAGGTCCTATTGTTTAAAGCCGACTGAACGAATACATGTTGGTGATTCTGTGATCATGAGACAAAATAGAAGCAATAAGCTTTCTTCAGCATGTAGACCTGAGCCTATGGATGTTATAAATGTGAAAGGTTCTATGATTACTGCTCGAAGTTCCAATATTGGCAGAAAAACTATAAACACTTCTCTTGTTGAAAAAGTTAATGATTGTACGTTTCGTAAGCGTTTTACAAATATCACTGATACAGATGTTTTACATGATAATGATATTACTGATGATACTGTTAATTTGAATGTTGATAATGAAACAGCAGATGCTATTGCTGAAAGTACATACTCTTCTGTTCCCCCTGTTCCAAGTGTTAGAGAGAGATCGTCCTAGAACAGTGGTTCCCAACCGGGGGGAAATTTGGAGGTTGCAGATGGGAAATTGAATGCTCCTCTAAAAATGTACGCACAACAACACAATTATTGAATATTACACAATGTAAATCACAACATATGCCATGAGGCGGAAAAAGATTCCCATGCAATTAATTAAAACTTTAGTAAAATATCACGTTGCTGGGCATGATATTTTGATCGTGCTACGCAACTCATTTTGATCTTTGGTCGGCCGATAACAACCTCACAGACATGTCTCGAACGAACACCAATGCTTTAAACGTTACGCAAGAAGATTTTCGTTGCAGAGCCGCAAAAGAGAACAGTTTTTATTGTCTGTCTCAGAGATATTGGGTAGGCACGCGCTCCGATGAACAAATATTTGACCCGTCCCTTCATTCTGCTAAATTGTTAATAAAAGGTAATAACTTATGTAAAAATAAAGTACGATCATAGTCATCTCGGCTACGGCTCGGCTAAAATGCAAAATAAAAGCAGGATGAGATTCGACAACATGGGCAATTTCAAATGAGTTCAAAAGAGATATTGACTGCGTCATTTGTAGATGTCCTGCGAATAGCAAGAGGTTCCATAACATCGGTGGGACATAAATGAAACTTTGTCTCGTGGAGTGTGATGATATTCTGCAGAGCAAGTCTGCGGCGTCAACAATGAACGGATCTCCTTGTCGGATAGCAATGCGCATTTACAAAAATAGATTCAGACTTCCTGTCTATCATATAAAAAGAAACAGGAGGTTTGATATGGACGGTGTAATATAATGTAAACTTTAATGCGTTTTTTTGTAATTTTAAGCGTTGAATTGTTCTATTCGATGACTAACACTGATTTTCTTTACACGAATCGTCACTGTCTTGAGATGCTAGACGGCTCGATGAATGATCTCATGGAGTTTTAACCTTTACACCAATTGCAAGCCTTTATCATAGAAAGTCATATACTGTATACCAATTATTATTGACAGGAAAATTATTCTTTTTAAATAAGTCCATATGTAATGGGAGATAACAAATCAGCCTAATCGGAAGTGGGAAATTGAGATAAAAAGGTTGGGAACCCCTGTCCTAGAAGATGTCCAAAAGTGCCAAGTAGATTTGAAGATTTTCATATGGGACGAATTTCAGTATTGACTGTTTAACTGTATTCTGAAAATAATGTATCTTGTATTTGCATTGTATTTAATGAAGTTGATATCGATATTTATCTGTGTAAAGACTTGATCTAAAACCTTTGTGTGCTGAATCTAATAATTTGATATCAGATCTTCATATGTTTGTCGTGCGTCGATGTTAATTTTTGTGTTGATTTTTTTTTTATTAAAGTTTGGAGGGATGTGATATATCTTTGAACTGTGTCCGTTCATGCCTGAAGGTGACTTTGAGTTCACTACTTATCACGTGTACTGTGTGATACATTAGCTGTTATGAGTTGTTACTGTGTGTGTTTATCTATCTAGAATGTGTTCGGTTTCGAATGTGAATGAAGTCCGCAATAGCAATATAATTGTGCGTGCTAACACACCACCTTACACATTACTCACACACCTCTCTGTTGATAACTTTATTTTTGTCTCATTGTTCGTATTTAAAGCCAAATATTGTCTAATTCATTGATTTGTAATGTTTTAAATCAAATTATTTCAAAACTGTTGGCTGACGTCATTTGCGAAACCCAGGGAAAAGGGCATTCATTTTAGGTTTCGTCTGTGTTTGACAAATCCCTTTTTATTCAAAGTTAATTTATATGTCTATGAATCATTCACGTAAAGTATTCTGTTACTCAGGAATCCCAATCATTTGTATGTTTACTGGACTCTGGAATCTTCTTCATCCGTGCGCTTCAAATATCACAGAAATTTGCGCTACGAAGATGAATATGGATTCAACGCAACGATGACTTATAGGTACGTTTTAAAGTAAATACTCGCATTGACTTATCCCGGTAATATTTGAAGCAAGCAAACAACAAAGTTGACATAAGACCACCGAGTAACAGTATTGTAGTCTGTCTGGAGTCAAAAGTAATTTTTTTATCGTTTTGGTAACAGCATATCCAACACAATGTTTGCAAACCGAATGGAGTGGTGGGAATGGACCAAACAATGAGCCTAACTAAATCAATAGATTTGAAAGCCTACAAATTAGGCATGTATATTTAGCAAAACTTGGAGTTGTTTACTTCCTTAAACGCAATAACTATGTTTATTATACACTTATAATTTTACAGGAGAGATTCAGATTTTCCTGACAAACTGTATTCGACCAACTCAGTTATGGCAATCGTTAAAAGCAGAAACGTCCCGAAAGCGGAAGAATTACTCAAATTAAAAACGAAAAAATCTCTTGTTGTAGTTTCCGATTGTGCTCAGCATTCAGTCGCAAAACAAAGGATAAGGTTAATAAAAAAAATCATTGCAAAAGGTTACGAATTGGAAGGATACGGCGGGTGCTTCCCTAAACAGGGAAAATTTGCGGATGGAGCAAAAAGGGATTCACAAGAATTTTTTCGCGCAATTCGTGCTTACAAATTTTATTTTTCGTTCGAAAATTCTTATCACTGTAAAGACTATATTACTGAGAAGTTCTTCAAAAACGCATTTCATTCGTATACTGTTCCAGTAGTATGGGGAGCAACCAAAAAAGATTATCTTGCGTTTGCACCAGCTGGATCTTTCATCTATGCAGAAGATTTCGAGACATCGAATGAACTTATTGAATATTTAAGATATCTAGATCAGAACGCCACTGCCTACTTGGAGTACTTCCAGTGAGTTTTTCTTTTTACATAGTACATTAGTATCTCGTTTAATCGTTTCTGATAGTTCTATTTCTATCGGCTCATAACTATAGTTGCTACTTTCTCACTTCGTTTTTATCAGTAGTTTCAGAACAAAACTTAGACACGTAATTACGAGGACTTTACTGCAATTATTGATCCATAGCAGTGTGCTGTATCCCGTTAACCACAATTTAGACCACCCTTGTTATAAGAGATGCCTCGACACCTCTGCTTGGATTTGTAAAATCTAAGAACACCGTGAACACACCTTACTGTAAGTAAACAGATCTAGAGCACGGAAACAGTGGCGCGACAGAACTAGGCTAATCAAGAGTACCTCGCGGGACTAATAATTACAACAAATTGCAATTTTTTATAAACACCATTACACAAACACCCCGACACGTCCTCACACTGCTACTTGCATGAAGGATTATATCTATTCCTGAATACGCTATCGTAGCTTTTATTATCACCTTGTACATCACGTTTTGAATTATGAAAAGGCTAATAGTTTTGATTCATTCAGTTAATCATGACAAATGAAGACCAAATCCCAGATGTGCACATTATGAGCTAGTTGCTTAAAATATACGCATAATATCAACATTTAAATTACATTGCAGGTGGCACAATATGGATCCAGATATGGTCCCTGGTTGCAAAAGCATTGGCCGTATTTGTCAACTATGCAGAGCTTTGTACGGAATTAACTTTGATGATATTCACAATCCTAATTTTGATCCAGAAAATCATCCAAGGCCTTTATTCGATGACGGCGTTTCTTATCGACCTGCAATTTCCGTTAGAGACTGGTTGTATCATGAGGACAACAAAGAATGTTTTGATAAATATTATTGACATTATTTTATATGAAAACAAAAATTTCACCTAAACTTTAAACATTACGCCATAATTTTTAAAGGGGCAATGATTACAAAACATCGCAGACCATTGTTCAATAAAAAATAATGAAATGATATTATCATTATATTCATATTAAATTGGTACTTTACAGAAGCATGTATGGGATGTGGCATATTTGTAAAACTTCTTAAATATAATCAACCCCCGAAAAATTATTCTAATACTCACATCCCTACTCACAACACTGTATATCAGTGCTGAAACGATGTTTTGTTGCAACATGCTACACAGTTGCATTATAGTGAAGTTACGGAAACGCAATGAATTGGAGAGATATAGCGACGGAAACGGTGGAAGTTGTGCTCGATAAAACCATTGTATAGATAGCGAATATATAAAACGTGTCGTGTGTTGCTACGTGTAATGTGCTGAACAAAATTATTATGCTATATAGCGGCGTAAGATAAAGACATGGCAATTATGTGGAGACAGAATTTCAGCAACATTTGAATATAATGTCCAGATTAGATCGAGTTTAGTCGATATGTTTATCTGGTTTGAATGGTACTAGATGATTTGAAAGAAATTAAATATTGCGTTCGACCATATAAATAGTAATTGAATTATTGTATTTTGTTTAGTCAATATATATTTAAAGTATCACTATGTTTATTCGGCAATCATACGTCTACTGAAAATTGTTTTATTCGGTCTAAAATTGATCTTGTATATTTCATTTAAATAAATTCATCGAATACTTGGTCGCAACGCTTACAACGTCAAATTGCACAAACTGTCCTTATTCCTTGAATGTTGCTTGCAAGAGAAATGTGTGTTAGTAGTCGTGACGGCCACGTCTCAACGTGTGCGATTGAAGATTTGTATTAAGTCATGCAGTCCATCGAACTTCGATTGGTTGCCACTGGGCTAGAAAAGGTCCACTGACTCTAAAACAATAGAAGACCGTGTGAGACAAGGTAAGAACGTTCATTTAGAGTTAGACAGAGTCTGTACATATAGCAAGACATGCTATTTTACGTTGTTACCAAAAATGCAACTAATAAAACAGGGGTCTCCAACTCAAAATAGGTCGCAGGCCACTTCTTAAAATCTATTGACGACGCGGGCCGCAAACCAACAAATTAGGTACAAAATATGATATACAAAAAATGGTATTCCAGTAGTATGTGCACTAAGATGGCGGACACTGGGACGTAGTATATGTACCAGTATAGGATTAGGCCATAATTTCAGTTACAAATACTGCGGGAGTCTCTTGGCTAGTTTCTAAACTTGTAATAGAACCAAAATAAAGAAAATTGGAATAAAATTTTGCCCTAAACCTGAACCCGGTACACTTGCTATACGTTCCGGTGTCCGCCATCTTGGTGCACATGCTACGGGAGAGCCCAAAAATAACAAGGAAAATCTTAATATATTTGTTGAAATTGCACTTGAATCTTTCACTATAGGGGACATGAAACATATTCATTCACTTGTGCTGGATATTTGCCACTGTTTTGTAGAGGTGAGAGACTCGATGTTTGGCCTTATTTAGCGTAGTCTTAAGACAGCATACAAACTCTTGTCCGTTGGTCGTGTGCGAAAGGCTGATTTGTTAACTTTCATTGTTGAAAAATAATGCTGCTATTACTTCACAAGCCTTCAACATACACCCTTTTTAAAGCTTCCTTCAACCAAAGAACGCGACGATTTCGTAATCATCTCACTTATGACAAAGTTTTCACCGAAGTTTCACAATTTTTGTTTGTCTGAGAAAAATTTTCTCTGTTTCATCAGTGAAAAATTTAATTGCGATATCTTTTCGTGACAAATTGTTTCAGTATAGCCGTGGTATTTTACCTATGTAATCAGTCGTGTCGTAATATAGCCGGATGTTGCATTCCTTTTGATCAGCAATAATTGCACAACACACGAGACACTGAACCTTGATATTATAATTTCAGGCAAAATAAAGATCCACCCACTCCGAATTCCTCCCCTACTTCGCTTAAAACTCTATTTGAATTTGTTATTCAATCGTTAACGGAACCTTTGCTCGTAATACGTGCAATTTGTACTCTGACTTTTGAACATTTGAACTAGTTCATAATGCCTATATGAGCATCACAATGATATTAAATAAGTACGAAATATAATATTACTGCACGAAAGTACAAAGTGAAGTTTCCTACCCTATTGGAAAACGTGGCGTTAAACGAAGTACGATTCTATTCAAAGCAAGGCGGTAGGCGCTCAGGATTTCCACATCGTTACTATCCATAGAAACTTTCGGATCTATAACGGCAGCGTGATTAAGTAGGCGGGTTATCGAAACTGCCCGTTCTTTTAAGCGCTGCGCGTTTCGTGGACATTCTCGCGTGAGTGATATACTGTAGCCCTGGGGTGGCCAACCAATCAGTGACCAAAAGCCACATTTTGTACTTTATTACAGCTAAAAACCACATTATAAACATTAACACACACGGACAAATGGTTTGTTAGAAAGAGTAATTACTTCTGCAGGGGGAAGCGATTACGGAATTTTAATTTTTGAGGTAGTTCACGAGATTATCGCGACAAATTGTAAAATACTAAAAATTTCTCAACGATTGGCGCGTTTTTTCGCTGATGCCATGGAATTGGAACATCCATCCGAACTTTCGACGAAACGCACAACTAGGGTGACATCATAACGCACGTCACAAATTCTATCCAGATCGGTCTATATAGCAGTTCAGATGCTACGGCTAAACACACAGATAGACCGGCAGACGGAACGACTGATAATAGGGGTCTCCTAGAGCGGAGATTCAATATTAGACACATTCGGTATAGATCTGCAAGGTCATCCGAGGTAACATTCCACAAAGTACATAACGTAACAAAATATCAGTTGGTAGTAAACGTTATTCGTGAGTCAACAGTATTTCTATTGCTTGTGAGTTCTAAAAACTTGAGAACTAGGTACAAAGTCAAGTACGTCCGCGATTGATATAAATCTTCGATTTATTTTGTAGTTTAAAGTGTTGAAAAATCATAAATTGATTCATGTTACTAGATATAAAAAAAACGTCTTTATACTGCTAACCCTCGATTACTTTAGAGTCGATTTTATTGAAATTGGTTAGATGATATCTGATCATGTCTGGGTAATAAGGAATATATAATACTTTGGGGTCAAAATTGATCAGTTGATCAGTTGTTAGCAGGAGAAAATATATTATTTTGTGATCTATTGTGATGACTGGTATAGATATTTAGGATATGGTTCCGGGTACAGCGTAGCAGAACTTGAGCCGTTTGTGCGTCTTGGCGTCAGTCTTGAGACTGATAATATTTGCTTTGTAAGTCTTCACGACGTGATCTATACAATATAACCAAGGTTGATATTTACAAAGAAAATATTACCCTTTGTTATATTGTTTAGATCAAGCCGTAAGGATGTATCAATCTATCACTTGAAATCTCGTCTTCACGAAAAGATTTTTGACTTTCATAATACAGTATTTAATATAAGGCGAAAGAAGCACCAGGCAAGACAGGTTTTTATAACTGTACGTAATGATTTTAGTGAGATTGACAATATTTTAAAATAGCGTCCACCGTTTCATTACATAACCAAGATTTGGTTTCCAATGCTTTTTGTTGTTTTTAGTTGTTTTATTTTAGATAATTGAACGAATTGAATTATTTCCACATGAGACTCGGCGTCATAAATATCACGCGTACTGTTTCAACGTTGTAATTGTATTATTCGTCAGTGACAAAGCAATCTCTAACCCAGTCGTTCCCAACCAGTGTGCCGCGGCACAATATTGTGTCGAAAAAATATTTTGGTATGCCGCGAAGAGATTTCATTTTTGAATTTATTTCAAGTGATTCCAATCTATTGGATTCCACGAAAATTACCCCACGGCTTTTGCTAACAAACAGAAACGACAAATTTGGGGAGTCGTATTTGGGTATTGTTTTAATTCTAAGTTTTGCATGATGAGGACCAATACAATTTCGTAAAATTAAAAATATGTCAAACAAGGTAACAAATTATTGTGCAAAATTTTTTCTAAATTTGACCAAGAGTTAATATTTGACTAGTAGAATTGTCATTATTGCCGATTTATTGAATTATTATTCGAACTCAAAATAACATTCGGGATTCACGCAATGACTTCGCGGGGTTTTTATTCACTAATTAATACGAAAATAAAACAGACACAATAGGAAAGTAAAATCATAAGAAGGTCAACTATCGTCTTTATAAATATCCGCATTCGACATCAGAAATGATAATATTGTTAGTTCAAAATTGGGACAATTAATTTACAATCGATGAGGAGAAAAGATCAAAACGGAGTGAAAGATAAAAATCAGAATAAATTTTGGATGGCCGTTGTATGTGTATTAAAAATACCTGATATTCGACAATTCGTTAAAAGTATTCCAAATATTCGATTCGATAAAAATATTCTATTTATTTCACCCTTGCGATCGGTAATCATGCCAGTAATCTGGCATGGTAGCATAAACACTGATGCACTATTTCACGAAAGCGTGGTAGAATTGACGATTATTTCATATCTCGAACACAGAAACGGTTATTTTTTGGATAGCTTCTGCGGTCTGAAAAGTCGAATGAACGTATCGACATAGTAAATGCTACGATCTTTGCCATCAAATTATGCTCGGGCCTTGCACAAAATTCATGACGTGGAAAGATTCGTCCATCGATAAAAATAATTGATAACAACTTTAAACCTATTTAGTGTTTTTAGCGATCATAAATAATTGTTGTCATGAAATACGGTTTGTTACGGCTTTCATATCTCTCGCAAGTGCCGACAATAACACTATTGAATGCTTTTGGCAATGGGAGAAACCTATTCAATTGTAACAAAAATGAAATAGGTTGTGCAAGAGTGAAAATACTTGTGATAATAATAAGGCGTAACGTGGAACGGGAAAGGGCGAGAAAAACCAAAGCGTATTAGCGTCACGTATTACCCGTGCAGCCACACATCTTTTACAATAATGTGAGGTGCTCCAAAAGTTGGTCTCGTGTACATTATTGTAAGAAAACAGGTATAATATTGGTAACTATTAACCATCCATTTCAAATACAGGGTATGTCGTATTAACAAGAATAGAATTTCTCTCGTCTGATCTTCTATGTTTTTTTTTAATATTTCATAGCTAAATGGCTTCAAGAGTAGGATATGTTCCTATTTTGTGATAGATGTGCCGCGAATATTCAAATAGCTCAATAGTGTGCCGCGACATAAAAAGGTTGGGAACCGCTGCTCTAACGTAACTATAGACCGGACGTGCTGCATGTTTGCATTTTGAGTGGAAAAAAGCAAGTACGAGGAGAACTGAAACCAAACTAAATAAAACCTCCAAAATAATTTTGCCATTTACAGAAAGGACGGGAAAACAAATAGTATATAAACAGCTACATGAACATTTGCAACAATGTTAACACACTCTAAAATATGGATGAATCGGATAGGGGGGTTTCTTGTTGGCGTCGCCATCTCCATAATTATCACTACCTACAATTGGCCTTTGAGTAACATTACTACTTCTAAGTACAGCATCGAACAATTCGGGTCCGGGACAACAGCAATAAGGCCACTCGGGCTCCGGCCTACGGCAATTAGACCAACATTGAGAGGGAAACAATCATTCACCAGCGAAACTTATACGAATAACAATATTACTGAAAACAAGGCTATAGATTCAACAACATCTACAACACATATGGTAACAACGCAAGCACGGCGAGAAAAAATCACCCTGAACACAGCATATCTGGATGCTATTCTGAAGCAGAAATTGCTGGAAGCCACAGAAAAAAAGGTTTTTTTGTTTATCAGAATATACATTACCACATTTGACGTGCAAGCTTTTATCAATACTTTAGATATTGTTGCATAGTAGAAAATCAGATCTTTATTTGGAACTGAATACGTAAAATAGCTGAACCACTCAAATTTATCCGGGGTTCCTCTCTCAATTATTGTTTACAATTTTTCATTATTTCTAACAAAATACGTGCTTCAACTGTAATGCGACAGCTTTTTTTCTAACAATCTTTAAATCACTACTGAACGGCAATATGAGCACATCAGCACAATTTCATTCACAAATTTGAGCAATTGGCAAAAATTGATCAAAATCATTATGTAGCATCATCTCACTGAATAGAACGCAAGCATACGCTTATAAAGAGCCACGAGTGAAGTTTTTCAGCCAAATGATTGACGAGCATAATAAATTGAAAATGACCCATGCAAATAGTCTTACAAAGCGGTTCAAGAAAGTTTTAAAAAAAAGGGTTGTGCAAGCGATGTGAGCCTGCTTTCAACTTTGGGGTGGCACCCAAGTACTGGTGTGGTACTCTGAGGATTGCTTATGCCATTCATTTGTTTTTTGTCCAAAAAAATTAATACGTAATTATTTTGTAACACAGATTATTGTTATGTGGTACGGAATGATACAATGGGGCCAATTGAATGCCGCAGAATGTGGAAACTGTGAAATAACATACAACAGATCAAGGGTTTGCACTTACTTTGAAAATATCTAATACTATTATGTAACATAGAAAGGTGGTATTCATTATATGATATACGGCTGTTATAGTTTTATCTGCATGTTTAGCAGGAAACTTCTATATGTTTTACTATATACTTTCAAGTCAGTAACTTTGCATGCCAATTGGTTAATCTTTTGATCATTTCTTCTGTGATATCCTGATGTTGTTACATGTGAGTCTATACTTTTCACAGCTATCAGACGATCAAACAGGAGCTGCTGTTTTTTATTTTGAGGGAATTTCACCACAAACGATGCCACCACTTGCAGAGAGGTTAGTTACTTGAAAAGATTCCATTAATGATTGAGAAAAGAATCATAGATGAAACTGGAGTTACTGTCAATAAATTAAATAGAGCTCAATCTCCGAGAAATTAATTTGAGGTAATGTACCCAATGCGATGATTTATTTTATGGAGATGGGTTTTGATTGAGAGATAATTAATCTACGTAAATAGTTTAGCCACATTAACGACTTTATCTATGTATACAGGACTAAACCCAAGCCTTTTTCAGAAATCCAAAGCATATTTATGTGTTCTGGAGTTTGGAATCTCCTTCTACCGTTCTTTACCGATATCATCGACCCCTTTTTTATGAGGATAAATACGAATTTAATGCATCTTTAACACATAGGTAAGTCGAATACTAAATGAAACTAAATGATATACAACTTTCTACTAAAGATATGTTGCGCTGAGAGGGTGTAGAGCAAAACAGTGCCAAAACCTTTGCCTTTTTAAAAAATAAAATATTATTATAAACGTAAGAGGAACTCTTGAATCTATTACCACGAAGTCCCAAAATCATTCAAGTGTTCCCAGATGTTGTAAAAAGCTTTTCCAATTAATAAAATAAAACAACAAAACATTGGGACATATTGGGTCTCATATGAATTGTAGAAGTTTTGTTTATTTTTTAAATATTAAGATCGCATTTAATTTAGCCTAATTATAGTCAAGGAGATTACTGTCATGCTCAAAACCGCACTTTTATGCACATAAGTGATTTTGTATGACAAACTTGAATTGAAACATCCTAAATTGTTGGATGAATTTTATTCATTATTTGAATTTAACACCTATTTACAAATTATTCAAATTGTTCATAATAAAACTGAATATTTTACCAGACGAGATTCCGACTTTTACAACAAATTTTATATCGATTGGGATATCGGATATGTAATGAATCAAAGAAGAAATAAATCCCCGTTAGAATTACTAAAGAAAAAAAATAGAACTGCTGTCATTGTGATATCAGACTGCGACGTTAATTCTGTTGCAAAACATCGAATGGATATTGTCAACCAAATAAAGAATATGGGATACAAATTGGAAGGCTACGGGAAATGCTTTCCTGAAAGCGGGATCTTTGCTGATGGCGCTGGAAGAGGAAATGACAAATTCTTCAAGGAAATTCGAAAGTACAAGTTTTATTTTTCATTGGAAAATTCCTATCACTGTAAAGATTATATAACAGAAAAGTTTTTCAAGAATGCATTATGGTCCTTTACTGTTCCCGTCGTTTGGGGAGCAACGAAAGAAGATTATTTAGCGTTTGCACCCAACGGATCATTCATTCACGCTGAAGATTTCAATTCATGGAAAGACCTTGTTGATTATTTGAATTATTTGGATAAAAATGACACAGCATATCTGGAATATTTTAGGTAATTTTTGTTACTACGCATGAAAATCTAATCATTGTCGCATTGCGAAATGCGACAAATGATTAAATTCTCATCAAAAAGAACAAACTTGCGTACAAAGATTTGTAAGTGAATACGTTGTTTAAAACTATTGGTATACTAAAAACACTAAAATATGCAAAATTTCTTTTAGTAGTAAAATACAGTTGTTGAAATGAATGAACATTTTGGCATTATTGCTTCGTATGAATACGTGCGTAAGATGTAAATGCCGCTGGAAAAAAATTGTTTCTTTATCATATCATATTTTTAATGTTTCAAAAATCTGGAAGCAAAAAAACAGCAGTATCAAAATTGCATTATAGTATTGCTTTTAAACTATATGGCTTTGGCTGGTAATCATGATTCAACTTTTCGTTATTTACAGTTGGCATCAGATGGATATAAATAAAGCTCCTAAACACAAGGGAGTTGACGGAATTTGTCATCTCTGCAGAGCTTTACACGGAATAAATCACGATGATATATATAATAATAATTTCGATCCAGCAAATCATCCAAGACCTTTATTTGACGACAAAGTGTCTCCTCGACCAGCAATCTCACTCAGAGATTGGTTTTATAATAAAGACAATCAAGAATGCTTTGATAAATATTATTGAATGTAAATGTATTTCTTTGCGTATAGTGAATTCCGTCGAAGAGACCCTCCCCGAAAACTCTATGTGGAATAAAGCTGAAAAAAGCAATCAAAAAGACGTTTGTAGTTCATTGCAAATAGTTCAATTATTCTAGATGAACGGTAACTAATGATCCAGTTACAATGTGCCGTTATAATTTGGACCACTATAAAATAAAAACATTCAACTTTCAAATTATTGCTAGATTCTACATGTTATGCACTTGCCTCGAAGTTGTTACCGGTACCACTTTTTGTGTCTGAACCCAAATATATGAATAATTTTTGTCTTTCCACTAGTGCAGTGGTCGGTTCTGTCTTGTTACTTGATGAACTATTTATTTATACCAATACGTAGTAATCATGATGTACACAATACTAAGAAATTCTGTCTTTGATGTGACTTAAACTAGTATATACATAAACGTTCGCCTATGGTATAGCAGAAATTGTTCTATTTGTAAGAATGTAAATGGAGAATGAGAATGAGTTTTAAATTTCAATTTTGATACGATGAGAAGAAAATCAGACAAGAAGGGAGAGGACTGATAAAATGAGGTCCGCAATAAGATGGTGATCTAACCGAAAAAAATGATTGGTCAGATTAATCTGAGAATCGCATTTAAAAAGACTATTTTATTTAGCAGATTTTCAAGTTATATCGAATCGAGTGCCATTCGAGTTCGATAAAATTGCATGATGAATTGAATTTGTTTATCAACATCACATGCGCAGATAGGCAAGCTATAAAAATTATGAGAATGTTTTACTTCATACAAAAGTGTGAATACTGTTCAATTAGCAGGTACACTCACGTATAAAAGAAAAATATGGCCTAAGCAAAACTTTTCTCTAGTGTGTGATCACCCTGCCCTAACACTGCGGAAATGCCGTTTGGCTAAGCAACTATGTCGGAGTTATTAATGCTTAACCTTCATGCTCATCTGCTCAAAACCATTGGCCTAACAAAGTACGCAATCGAGATTGTTTGGTTGAGGTTAATTGACTATGCTTACTATTACGATCTAGCAGGGGCAGCAATAACAACAATCTGCAGCCACTGAAAATCACAAAGCAATTAGTACATTAGTTAAAAATAAATGAAATATTTTTACAACAACAATAACAAAACAAAAAAGAATACCACCGCCAACAACATAATAATAATAACAATAACGTTCATTGACGTCATTTTTGACATAGTCATGGTGGGGATCATGAATGACATATGCAAAAATTGTTGCGCCGCGCCCACTAGAAGTATACTTATGGTAGTACACCACACATACGGTAGCCGTTCCATAGTTTTATCTTCGCAATAGGATATGGTTTCGGGGTGGTTGAATATTTCGTTTCAGCCCTCGTGTCCATATTATATATTTAAGCTTTGCTCTATTGTATTATATCAACATGTGCACGTATTCAGGTGCCCTATCAATATATAAATAAAACAGGCGTTTTCAAATACAAATGTCCAAAAGTTGCCAGTATGCAAACTTTCAGAGTAACTTCATGTGGCGATAAAGGCGCATTTAGGTTTAGAATAAATAAACAGTGTTGCATAATTTTTTTTTGTGTGTTTGATACAAAATATATTAGCGAAAACAGTGAAAGTAAAAATGAACTAATGAAAATTGGTTTGGCAAGATAACCGAACAATTCAACGTATCACTGAAAGAACAACGGCTAGGTGGCAAAATGAGGAATTTTAGAATGATGCAAGCTATGTCAAATAAGCATGAATTGAGGAGCCGGCTTTAAACAAGTCGATGAGCCCGTGTTATTTTCGCAGTACCCCTTTTTTTTTCGCTCATTGGAAATCCGCCCGTACACAGTCTATTGGAAGTAATAACCAGGCTTGTTCATGGGAATGGGATTCCCGTCTGATGGACAGATGTAGCCTACAATAGTTATGAATATAAAGTGAACAAAGTTAGTAAATATTATTAGTTTGCATGTCTCTTCGTACATCTAGTCCTATTTAGTAGACGCTAAACCTAAATTTAACAATATTTGTTGAATTGTATTCTAATGGGAATCCCATGGTATGGGATGGGTTGGGACAGGTATAATTCTTATGGGATCGGAATTGGAGAGAAAATATGTCCCATGGACAAACCTGGTAATAACAGAATACGTTTGCAATTAGAATAAAAATGTAGTCGTATTAATCATGATTCATGATTAGGTCTTATCTCGACTAGCCAGACGAAAAAAAATTCGTCAGATCGCCTGAGGCAATTGTACACTATATTCCAGCTTTACTGCGAAGAGGATTGGTAGCTTCGCTTGGGTACGTGTGGGAAATGAACTGTTAGATTATAATTACATATCATCACATATGGTCGTTGTTGGCAAATGCATATCGGAAGAGAGAGTAACATGGCTAGGACAAATTATGATAACCTGCTAAATGCTTTGATTTGGGGAGAAATTGGAACTGATCTTGAGATATTTATTAGTGAAGGAAAGGGAAATATTTTAGATTTATATTGTTGTCTGTTTGAAATTGCTGAATGAGAAAGAATTGAGGACTCGGAATGATCAATTATTTAGAAAAAAATTAGAAATTGTATATAAGTACTGAATTTGGTATGGCAAATGTCCAGTTGATAGGCTAGGGGTATCCTGCTATTATAATAGTCATGACATGTTATCTTCGATAGGTGACTGATTCTGCGTCTGTAGATTTGATAACATTTAGCCTAGATATACAGATAAACCACTAATTGCTTTATTATCGGAAGATATGTCTAAAACGATTTCCTTCATATATTCAATATTAGTCCTCTTGTAACAGAATGTGCCACTCTTTAAATTAATTGATGGTTCTTCAACCATTTTATGTGTAGACTCGTCATAAGTGGTAGATTTAAGCATGTGGCATTATGTTGCCGTGTGTGAACTGGACAATTTTATTGAAAACAAATAAAAATTTCGGGTAAAAGTTGAACTAAATTGTGGTCCCAACTTACGAATCGTTAACTGAAACGTGTATATCTGATACAGATGTGTTGTGAACCCCTCAATCATTCAGAGCAGCTGAAAAGACACAAAACTGTCGCACGAGTGATTTTATGGTGCTTTTCGTTAATTGATCTGCTTGGTCCGCAATAGAACAATCAAAGAGATAATTGATTGTTTATAACACGTTGGGATTTTGATTTAAATGTTTTCTTATTGTGAAGGGCAATTAAACTAAAAGTGATAATTTGCTCTATTCGGGCACAAGTAGACGAGACGGGAAATAGAAGATTGACTTATGTGGGAAGACAACAAATCTCAATCATTGTAACAGTTCAAACCAAATTGTAGATCATGTTAGGGATATTGAACTTATAAAATGAACCAGACACAATAGTACTAACAAATATCACAAAAATAGAAATAGTATTAACTACATTACTACACCAACAGCAATCATTTCCAAAAATCGCTCTGCTCTCCGTTAGAATAAAATATATCTTTTCGTGATCTATTCAGAATTAATTTTAAACTAATATAGTATAGATACTTACTAATCTTGGAAGAACAGATAATATATATTTTACATACAAAGAAAAACCCAAACGTGTTAGATTGTAGGCCGTAGTGTATATAATATGCAAAGATATGCGTCACGAAATTTATTTTTTTGATTTCTCATTTGTTCAAGGGAAGGTAGGTATATAACTTACAATGACAATATTGGTACACTTTTAGGTATAGCTTTACTTTAATTGAAATTTGCCGTTGTCGTCTTGTTAACGCCTTGTTGTCTGGGATAAAATAGGTCTTATGACACGTCGCGAATTTGATTTTTTAGTAGATGAGTACAATTCATTAATCGTAATACGTTTTCATAATTCTACGCAGACATATAAATTACAATTTTTATCACATCATGAAATAAAAAGAAAAAATTTCAATGCGAATGAAAGTAAAGGAGTGAACCTTTTCAACGAGGAAGTCCGATCCAGCGAAGATGGCGGGAGGTCCGTCAATGGTAGAAATACCCGCATTTCCTTTACCTCAGCCGACTGAAATAGGTGAGATTTGTAGTATAAGTCAACCAATCATATAGGCAACGTTCAATGGGATTTTACACTTTTATGATCACCCTAATTATCTAACACTTTTTGCCTTTCCAGTGTGTCCGGCAGAATACATGAAGCATAAAACGGCTTGCTTCAAGTTTGGCTCACACAGTAGTTATGAAACGGCAAAAACTGCATGTGAAAATGTCGGAGCGCGACTGGCAGATATTGAACCTGTTTTTAGCAAATATGTTCGAGACAAAGTCCGGACGATGGGTGGAAATGATTTCTGGATTGGGTCATTTATAGTAAGTTTCGACTGTTTCGATACCTAATATTTGCATACTGGTACACAGCTTGTTCTAAATAAAACTATTAAGTTGCAAGGCCTTTTTGAAGTTATTTTGATATCAGTTTGTTAAACTTATATTTTGTGAATTTCGCACTTCCATTCACACTACTAAACATGCGCTACAAACTAGAATTAATTACGCAGTACACGCTTTTGGTTAATTTACTTCAACATTCGTTTTCTACAATTTAGATAAATATAGGTTGTACGGCCAAGCAATGAAACTAGAATATATATAATAACTAGGATATTAATCTACCACTTCCAGTGGTTTATTAGTCCGCTATATCTTCAGCTGTGATCACGTACGAGTGATAAACAAACATATTTGTGGTAAAACTTGAATTGTTATTAAAAAAACTTCTTTTTCCATGTGGTTTTTTTATTTTCTGAAAAATAAAACTGCATTCCAAAGGATATCTTGGATTTAAGTTGTAAAGCACTCTTCGAATTTATCATGTATGTTAAATATTCGCTGGAAATCAGATATGCAAAAAAATTCTATCGATATTAGCTAAATGTTTTCAAATGTGCAATTTTATTTACAGAATCGAGGCAGAACGTACAAACAAAAAGGACGAACATCATGTCCCATTATGCGTGGTCAAATGATTAACGACGCTCTGTATGGATTAGTTGATTGCAACTCCGCAAACAGATATATTTGTCAGAAATGTGAGTAGTGAAGTCTCACGAAATATGGCCGTTAGTTGCAGAGTAAAAATTGAGTACAAGCTTCAAAATTCCATTTACGACCATGAAAGCAACCAAGTTCAGAAATAACGATTGGATTTAAAACAGTGACTTAAAATGCTTAATTACTATGTTTGGTTAACACAAATAGGTCCATTCAAGTATTGAAAAAACCGCTTCATACCATCACAGAGAATTCCGACAAAAATTTGTCGCTGTTACAAATTTATGAAGTTACGAGATTGCTATGGAATAGGCAGATTAATTTTCAAATATGTAACCCCTAGGGCAAGCACAAAATGAATTCGGTAACGTGCTTCTACCTTACGTAGGAAACGGAAAACAAGTTTTGCCATCATTTCGCTTCGGGCATTTTGACTAAACTCTGATGCTGATTTTTAACGCCAAGCACTGGAAGAAGAAAATTGTGATTTATCACCGTCTCTGCGGTATTCGGAAAATAGTACCATATTCATAGCCTATGAACATAACGCTCTAACGAACATCATTTAGATAGTTTCGTGATGATTTAAATATGAGGCTTCAACAATAAGAATTGAAATTCCAGTGAGAAATAATGAAGGGATTATGCAAGTGCCCACACTATCAAATGGATTTTTTGAACGAAACATCCACTCAAATATGTTATCAGTTACGGAGTGTTGTGCGCCGAACTGTTATTCTAATTCAATAAAATGTTACTTTGTTCTACAGATGGACCGGTACCTCAAACTAATTTGTTGGGAATGGGACCTTTGGGGCCAGGTGGTCAACGTCCAGGATTACCGAGTGAGCATACCATTCTGACTTCTACTGTTCTGAAAATCTTTTATAGATCTGAAAACCACAAAAAAAATTGTTTACTACTTTGTATTCAAACATTTCCCTCCACGACGAATTAAATCGGTTTTTATTTCTTCAATAAAACTGAATACATGGTAATGTTCTACCTAATTTAAATAAAAGTTATGAAATTAATGCATAAAATGAAATATATACTCGAACAGCTCAAATTTATTTAATGGGATACACAAAATAAAATGGAATAAAACAATCAAAGTAGTTGTTTTCTTGTGGTACTCTAACTAGTATTTTGGATTATATTTGATTTTTATGCGATCTGATCTTAAGCATGTTCTTTTGTAGAGTTCGAACCACGAGTGGGAAGGGTCTTTCACTTTCGGTGTCCTCTAATTTTTTATTTCTCAAAATTCTTTTCAATTCAGCCACCGCCAAACCAACCACAACCACCGAAGAAATAGCAGACGCATCAGGAGGTGGACTTTCACCAGTAATTTATGTTGTCATCACTGCTGTAATACTCATCATTGGCATGATTGTTCTGAAACTTTTAATCGGACGATATTTTAGAGACAAGAAAAAAGCAAAAGCTGAGAGTAAAAAGGGAATATCAAAAAAGAAGGTTCCGGAACAAAATACAAATGGAAAAATCTTTTACCCGAAATGGAGAACTAAATCAATATCAAAGACAACATCTGTAGATAGTGCTGTGTAAGTGTAAAATGAACTGTGTTTGCTTATACTGTGTTGTTGTTCATTGAAGTTGGTTAAAACAAAAGGCGAATGGCCGGTTTAATCGAGGCCGAATTTAGAATCAGTATGAATATATGAAACATTGATTATTTATATGACATTATATTAGTCTTTTTGTTCCAAAAAAAACAATGGAAAAAAATTGTAAAAACAAGGTGCAGTCCAAACAAATAATTTATGTAAATTTTGATATCCATACAATCCCATACAGAAAAAAACTGATAAAATCAAAGCAGTCGAACAACTCTAAATTCTATATAATTCTGTAATGATATACTTTGTACTATAACACAGAATTGTGCATTTTATCATTACCATTATGCGTTCTATTTGTCTGTAACAGATTATTGCATTTTTGATTGACAGGCCCCCTTCTAATCCATCCCCATTGTCAGAAAAGAAGTACAGCCAAACACCGAAGCAAAGGCATAAACCACCACACGGAGAGGCTGAAAATGAAATGGATCGAATAGGAAGACCTCGCGTAAATGGTGATTTCACAAAAGTGTTACATTAATATAAATAAATAACAGCATGATTAGAAACAAATGGACGACATAGAGTTTTGGCAGGATTTTGTGAAGTACGTAATAGTTGGTTATCGCGAAATTTTGGTGAAACATATTTTTAGAAAACCAACCAATAGGATGCGAACATTTCTTTATATTTTCTACTTTGTGCAAAATGCCTTTTGCTTTGCTACTGGAATAGCAGAAAAACATAAACCTGGTTTATCTTTGATTTTGTTGCCTATGGTATCAAGTCAAATACTCGTCATATGCGTAGGTAAAATCTTTTCCAGTATATACTTTACACTAAAATATCGTAATTTTATAACAAGGGCCACCACCAACGAGAAAGCCGCCACATATGAACGGTGATATTTTGGACGGTTACCATGGACGAACAATTGATAAAAGTATTTATGACAGAGGTAACGCATACTATGTGAAATATGATAATCAAAAGTCTTATTTTCAGTATATATCGACTTATTGGACACGTAGTGGACATAACGATCGTTTCAAAATTTTGTTTTCATTGTTATTTTCATTATTTGTCTCCATCATTTTTAAAAAAATCGCTTTTCTCTCCGAATACCGGACCAATTGCTTTAAAATTTTCAGTGGTTAAAGATAAAATTTTTCCCCAGAAGGCTATTACTTTTATTCATTTTAAATATTTCTGTCAGCTCTGTGAGATTTGTTTCTGTTTGCTATGACGTCATCAAACGTTCTGCGGTCATCGAACGCCATTTTGTGTCCTACTGTACTGCTTCGCTTGGTGTGAATATATTTGTAGACTGTGATCTGACGGTACGGTAAACCGTACTGTACTTCGAACAGACGTGTCCATATATTTGGGCGTAGCTCTCTTGTTCCAAAATGAGATTTATCGAGCATCACAATCCAATGTGTTAGTGCAACTATCTCAATGTATGAGAATATGCAATATTATACTTATCGGTTGGTCATCAAAGTAATTGATATCACTCCTTGTTCTAGATCGTCGTCATAAAAAGCATCGTCGTACACATTCTGATCCAAGATCGGATTATGGTGCTTCGCAATATGGAAGGCGTCATTCAAAGCGACGTTATTCTCATTATTCAGAATATTCTCAATCTACCTCAGACAGCTATTCCGATGATTCAACCTACTCTGGTCCGATCTATGGACCCACGAAAGTGTATCAAAGACATCCGTCCCGGAATCAGGGAGCAAGGGAACCTATGCATTATCACATTGACCCTGCTTACTACCGTGGCTTCTCAAAGAGACATAGCCACGACTACCACCAACGGCGACATCGTAGCAGACATAAAAGTTATGGACACTCGAATCACGGAAATTTATATCATTTTGATGGTCATAGAAGCCATAGTCGCCATATTTCTCATAAAGAAAGTCGTTACGGTAACTATGGAAAAGGCCATCACATTTACAATGACAAGGGGCGATCTCAAATACCCAGTGTGAGCGCAAACGTTTATGACAAACAACAACCTGAGAGGCAGTATTTCCCACAGCCGCACAGGCTAATGTCATGGACTTCGCCAGCTGAACTTAAAGAGCTTAACAATCAGTCGGACGAAGCCTTAGTACAAGATACTTTGAGGAGTTTTCCAAAAGAGCCTATTCGCGTAAGCAGGCAAATCCATCAGAATCAGAAAAATACAAAAACTGGAAGCAAATCAAAGAAACCAAGGAAATCGAAGTCTAAGCACGATGATGACGATCACTTTTATGAAATCTTGGATGAAAAGAAACGAAATAAACAAGCAAAAAAGTCATCACATCGAAACAAAAATCGGAAGAAATCTGAAGGTAGGTGTTTTGAAACAATTGAACATTTAAAACACGACATGCCCAGCAAAGCGTCGAAAAGGCAATTTCTTTTTCACGTTTCCGACTTATTTTTGACATTCAGACAGACATATATACTATGGATATATGCATAAAGTGGTTCATGATATTATACCATACATATATACAGATTTTTTCCGATAGGTCAATTGTCAGCATTTGAATAATATGGTATTTCAGCCCATGAACTAAATTTTTCTGAATGTGGTATTCCACTCACAAAGATTTTAATTTATCATATATTTTTTGTTTAGAACGGAACTTTGCAAGAGCTTCTCAATCTCGTTTAAGTATGAGGTCCGTTGCTTCAATCCAAAGCAGGCGACTTCCAACTCCTCCGATATAGATTGTGAAGTCTTTTTCAATATTCTGCAGTTTCAACCGGTCACGATTTCATCACTCAGGCAAAGCAACTCATTTCATTGATAAAACTATCACACGATGTTGGGAGAATATTGAAATGATCTTACCAGAAGATTATCTCGGACAGTTTGTTTTTACCTTAGGGCTTAGGCTGATATAAGTGATTGATGTCTGAAAATATTTTCAGGGAAAAGCAAGTTAATATGTTAGCCAATGGCAATCATGGTATCTCTATGTCTGGGTGACTGAGACAAATGTTTAAAAAGACAAAACGTTTGAAATGTTGAATACTAAATGTTTAAAATGATTGAAAATGATATTACAATATCTATCTTTTATTTTGGAGCATATGTCTATATGCGACATGACAAATGTATATCATAAAGTGTTGACTGGAAAGTTACGAAAAATATATAGATTTTGAAAAAAATCTGAACTACCGGACACCGCTTGTTTTCCGGTCAATGAAAATGTATATATTTTTAAACTAGTATGAATTTCAATTTTGACACAATTGAAACGAACGAACACAAAATTTTCAATGATATATTATTTCATTTGTTCGATTAACTGAAGAAAGGAAACAATGGCGGGGAAACGTGGCTAAATGAGACGAAACACAAACAATCAGTTTCTTGATTGCGTCCACGTTTTTAAAATCAATTATTTGAATTATATAAATAAGAAGTGAATGCATTAGTGATTGTCATGAGGTTACAATTTTATGAGATATTTGTTCATGTATCATGATTGAGATGAATTACATCATCCAGTCATTATGGCATAAATGAATATATAACGCAAATCGCTTATTTACCGCTATAATACCAGGCAAGCTACCGAGAAATGCATGAAATAGGGAAGGTAGGTGGATACTATAGAATGTAGGAGAGTGAGAGTAAAACCAACTGTTCTATTGGAAAGACAACGCACTTTCGGTACTCCAGAAGTATGTGCACCAAGATGGCGGACACCGGAACGTAGTATGTGTACCAGGTTAGGCCATAATTTTAGGCACAAATACTACGGGAGTCACTCGGCTAGTCCCCGAACTTGTAATATAACTAAAAAAGGTAAAATAAAAATAAAATTATGGCTTAACCCTAACCTGGCACACACACGATGTTCCGGTGTCCGCCATTTTGGTGCACGTACTTCTGGATCGCCGCAATTTCTCTAAGCGGCGAACTTTAGTGTAAATCCAAAATCAGAATGGACCAGTCCCTGGTTATCATGTTAGTACTTAACTTTTTGGCGGTTTGATTATACCGTGCTAATATACAGTTTCAATACAAACGTTGTGCAATCCAAGACCCAATTCTCTATGCTATGGGTTACAAGAAATAGGAAACATAGTTATGAATAATTTTGAAAAGTTAGACTCAAAATAGGAATACTAGGAAGAAACATGTGTGCTTGTAATACGACCATGTGTATTATGTTTGAATTTGATGCTTCCGTTCACGTGGTTTCTATGCATTCCATATCCGGAATACGTGTGTACGTTTTCGTGCACAGTCAATGCTGTAATATGCAATGTTGGAAAAAATTCTTATGTGAAAGACAAACACATTGACCGTAAGGATTGTTATCGGTTAATTTCCTTGCAAAAGATGTCACCATAAAAAATGTAACATATCTCTTTCAGAGGTGTCGTAAATATTGAAATCCGTTTGTAACTTTTTTAAACAGCGCCATTGCTTTTACGGAATAGTATTACGACGGTGCCACAGAAAAAAAAGCAGCGAATTGCGGATATTGCTATATTCAAATATTTAAGAGCCTCACCATCCTCCACGACACTTTAGTGGAATTTCTGAGTAAAATTGCGAAATTCAGTAAATGTTGTATTAGTTTCATCAGAACAACCCTTTGCATTAGCTTATGTAAGCTCTTTCTAATCAAAGATGTAATTTATCCGTTCACTTAGATATAATATTATCATACGATGCCTCCAAGACTCATCTGAGACGAGCAAAATTAAGAAGATGGTTCAATTAAACAAGTGAGTATTATTGCACATGATACAATTCTTTATACAACAAATTACATTTTAACACTGGCAATCACTATACACATGCTTTTCGTAATATAATACTACTATTGCCTTTTGCATTATTACTTTACTCCATTATTTTTACTTCTAACAGATTTCTTCACATTTTCCTCCTTATAACTTCTTTAGTTATGTTTCTATCATCGATCGTAACAAAGGTATGTTAGCAATCATTGCTTCAATAAGATTGCATCATAAGGATTGGAAGATATTTCTGGTCTATTTTGAAATCATTCAATTTTATTATAGTAAATAGGAATTATAGTTTATTGACAATTTGTGTCACTTGTGTAAAAAACTAAGTGGCAGCTTCTGCGTTGATCCATTGACGGTTAGATGGAAAGTATACAACTGACACGAAAATGTTTCGATGCTTCTTATTTTAAATGCTGTATATATGAATCATTAAATTCATTTTACCTTCGTATGTCGTTTACTTTCTGTTACGTAGGTCCGCCTCTATTGTTACGTTCCTGTTATACCAATTGCTGCAATCTGCAGTTTATTTATCTGCTGAGCCGAGTTTAGCGAACATAAGTGATTTTTTAATATTTCAAAGGACAATTGGGCAGATATGAGGAAGAAGAGTTGGCATTTTGCCTTTATTCCTTAGGCCTACATGTTCACAAACTTTAAAAGGAACAAAGTACACATTGACAATCACAAAATTGAGTTTTATTGAGGGCAGCATTTGTTTTCGTGTATGTGCGTCCTGAGTTTTTTTCCCTAATAATTTGGCGCCGCACGATCAAAAAGTTTGGGAACCGCTGTTCTAGCCAAATATACAAAAATACTTTAGATTAACAATTATTGTATATGTATCATAAAATAAATCAACCATAATGTACTCATACATTACTATATATCTCACTTGTTTTTCAGTCCACATTATTTGTAATTGGCAACGCATACACACAAAATTACAATGGCAGCAGATGTCCGTACGTGATAGATGGGGGAAGTAAAAAATATTATTATCCAAGATTTATGGTTATGCTTATATTAACGGTCTGTTTATGTTTTCCTGACGTCGTGACGCTCGTTTATAGTTTATGGAAAATAGTTGGAACAACAAAAACAAAGTTCGACATTTCGTGGAAAGTTTGTATTTTGGTAAATCAATTCATCATATTAATTTGTGCAGTAAAATATTGAAATAAACTATCCGAAAACGTATCACAATTTTTTTTAATACTAGGGACTAGTATCGGAAATTCTGCACGCAATTGGACTGTCTTTCTTTGTTCTTAAAGTGATTCCTAACGTTGACGTGCTTCTCATATGTTTGATGTTCCCCATTGTAGCACTTGTGCCAGCTTTTATTAATTTGAAAACAAAATATTACGACCGATTTTGCATGCATGCAGAATTCGACGTCGGACGAAAGCCACAAAAACAAGAATTGATTTTTGGCGCAATTGCAGTGGTAAGTTGATATATTCTAATACAAGGGACTCCGCGTATCGGGCTTCAAATTTCACCGATTTTAAGAAAGTTATCTTGCATCACCTCAAATGAAGTAGAATAACATTAAATATAACACTTGCATTTTTAAAATTTTCAAAAATAATTAAAGGAATTGGCAGAGACGTAGAAGCGAATAATTTATAATCGTTATCACACCAGTTTTTTCGAAGTTTTTCTATTTAAATCAAATTCTCGAGCACTTTTTTGTTGTCAACGGATAATACTAACCATTTAAATTAGTGTTTGCTATAAAATTAAAACTGTTTTTTCAAGATGTTGCTGCCTATCTCCTATATTATGGTATGTTGTCTGGTGTATAAACAAGAAAATATCGATGAGGATTTTCCATATACAACTTTATATACCGCAATTTGTGAGTTACTAACCCTCTTTTTTCCTTGATGTAAAGAAATCAACGTAATTTCGAGATACAAACATGATTTTTCGATGTTGTGAAACTGGGCTCAAATATAAGTTTTTATTCCGCCGAAGCCTCTTACTAAATAGCCACTGCACTTTTAGGTTTTAGTTTAACAGTTATTTTAAAAACGTCTCCACAATTCTGTCTCCACCGAGATAGCAAGAGTACAAATTGAGAAATTATACAGGACCGAGTCAGAAACTTACCAATTATGTTACACCACTGTTTTAGCATTGCTTCTAATGTCTTGTCGTTATTGGCAAAACTTCGCTAATCATGATAAGAAATATTCGAAGATAAATGAATGTGAACGGGAAATGAATGAAGAAACGTTGGTAATCACTCTAGCAATCTCGTTCGTAAGAATTTGTGTCTTAGGTAAGATATTGTCCTCAACTGTCGTTTATTGAATGAATTTTTAGATTAAAATATCAACACTCAATGAGATTAGAGATTCGCCACTATCACTCTCATGTAATCTCCTACGTATGGCCATGCTATTATTTTGTGCACAATAGGAACATTGTTAACGTGATAGATACCCAAAATAATTGCTATCAAATTAATCACATTTAAAATTTAAATTATTTTAGAAGTGCAGTTTAACAAACTTATAATATTGTGATTTCGTGTTGTTTTTCACAGTTTCATTTTCCTTCTTAATCCATTTTGTAATTGATGGAAATAGTGCTATAATTTCTCAAACACCACAGAAACTGTCGATTTACATTTATGATGAAATAAAAGTTGACGAAAGATGCTCAAGGTAAATATTATTCCTTTGACTAGATCTGGATAAAACGTACATCATAAGGACGATTTAACTGAGGCTAAGATCATTATTTCCCACCCCTTGTTCATGGGATTATCCTTTTTTCGTTTTACATACACCAGGATCATCACATCACTCTGGCTGGCAGCTGCTACGCATTGCCTCGATTCATTTATAACATTTTATCTCAGCAGTATGATCTGTCAAATATCAGCTCCCTTTGTTTATTGTTGGTTGCCTTCAATCTTGGCGATACCTGCTATGTGCGTCCTGGCTGCAGCATTCAATTTTCAGCACTTTTCCAGTGATGAATCGGATCTAATGGAATTCTTCGACCTACGTAAGAAAGTTTAATTGTGTGATTTTTATTTGTACAACTGAATTATTTTTATTTTTTTTGCAATTTCACTATTAAAAAGTAATAGGCATTTCAAAGCGTAACCCCGAAGCCAGTTTAAATTTGACGCGACAACTAGTCATGTGGTCAGATTAATTAACTGCGGCTGATTGGGCCTGTTGGTTGTCGATCGCAATCTTAAGTAAAAATACGAGACACGACGATTGTTAGAATGAAGTCGGATTATTACACATAAACATTCCAGTACCAAGTTACATAAAATATATATTAAGAAAAATATTGAATATTTGAAAACGTATTATACAATAGCAATGTTATTTCTTAATATTATTACTATTTTTAAGTGAAAATTTTCTCAGAGTAAGGTCACCCGCAAACACTCAGAAGCAAAGGAGGTGGTTTTACGGTGACATGACATACTGACACTATAAAGAGCGATAAATTATGCGGTGGCACACATCGATTAACCCGAGATTTGACTAGCTTAGTTCAATATGCTTAGGAAACAACCATGCGATAATGAAAACCACATAACTGAAGTTATTATAGTAAAAATGGGATAATGTTTTGGTATTTGGATGCACTAACAGTAAACAGATGACAAGTTACTCTCAACCAATTATTAAGAACAAACATTTTTTTTTAAATCTCTCCAGCAGGTTTATTACAGACAAGATCGCCAGCATCAATATGACAGCAATACAATACTTATTTATACTTTTCAATATATATATCATAGCAGTAATAGCACGCACTCACGGGACAAATATCTTTGATCACAGTAAAGATTGAAATCTTGATAATAAACAGATGAAAACTACACTGATGTCAATTATTTCCTCAACTGGAAAACTGCGTACGAATTCAATAGCTCATACGAAATGCTGGTAATTACTACCTTCGGAGTTATATCAGGGTGCATTGGGATTGTCTGCATAATCGCTCACCTGTCGAACAAAGTTCATTTTAAAAGGTTGATCACTTACATTTATTCTTTCATTTATTGCATAAAATGTTGCATGCAAGGACATTGCAAGGCAGCTATGCTTTACCTTTCTGCTACTGTAATCAGCTGTTTGACGAATAGCACTGAAGGCAATATAACAAACCACCTGTTTATGAAATTTTTTCGGTGTCAACTTCGACCTTTGTTTTCAATATGGCAGCATAAATACAGATGAACCAAGTCGGTTCCATTGGTCACCAGTGTCTCAATGTTTTGTTTTAGCGATTATTATGCAAAACCGGGATACGGAGGAATGTTCATAAGTGAGGAATTAATCTTGAACGGAATACGTTGCAGGTATGACTGTACAAACGGAGAATATTTAGCTTCGGGAATTTACGATTGAACAGTCAATTGACTTGTAAATCATTGTTGTAATTAGGGAAAAATTTATTTTTGTAAGTACCAAAGCAATCGTTGCCAAATTCTCAGTAGTTGATGATAAACAATCGCAGTAATCTATTATTTAGAAATTTTTCATAATTCTCTGAACTTGTAAGGCTCGTAGTTTTACCCCAAATTTTACTGATTTTAAATGTTACCACTGGGATTTTCTCAGACTAATTTCACCCAAAACATCTCATTAAATAGATATATGTATTTATCTTGTTGCTAGAACTGACAATCAATCTGTTACTATTATAATAATTAATATTTGTAATTTGTGCAAAATTGTCAATTTTGATTGTTGGTTTCCAGATATCTTCGTTTGATTTAAAGCTGGATATATAATGTTTAATACAGGTACGGTCGAATAGGTACAGCAAAAGAACTTTCTCTGGAATATGTCCCATTCGTAAATGTATGTGTCACCATGTGGCATGAGACAGAACAGGAAATGACCCAGTTACTCAAAAGTGTCATGAGGTAACGCTAAAAATATTTTCAAGCATTTTTACTAGCTTACAGTTATAGTTTGTATTTGGTTCGGCACAATTTTTTTTGCACAAACAGGTTTAAAAAAGTGTCAACATTCATACAAATAATAGCCTAATGGTAGTTACTTACGCCAAGCACATCTATTCTGAGTATGGCAAGCCACTGGCCCGCGCAGGGGCCAGACATGAACCGCCATGTTTTTTGGAGAAAATGCAAAAAAAAACATACCAAAGATTTCGGCGATAAAAATTGATTATCAAACCGCCTTTAATTGAATCTAACAATAAGCGAACTATTGTATTATATAGTAAACCGGTATATGTGGCTACAGGTAACAATTCTATTGAAAGATTTATGACATATGACAATACAATTGATCTATTTCATAACAATGGATGATAGTGACTTTAAAAATAGAATCTTCATAATCGTTTTGAGGTAATAAATAATCGTGCGAAATCCGCGGTTCGGCGCATGAATTTCATAAAATCGAATACCAGTTATGTAATATGTACAGGCTTTATCAGCATGTGATTGAATTGGAAAAGACAGACAAGAACTACTTTAATTTTGAGGTATGTCGTTCTTGATATGTAATAAACGGAAAAAAATTTGTTTTATTGCTTTTCATTGTGCACTTATCTTTTGAAATCATGGTGCGAGTAGAAGATTAATAGAAGCATTTATGTACAGGTTCAGATTTTTCTTGACGACGCCATGGAAGCACAGAACCTAAACACTGAAAAAAAGAAAATAAATGATTTCGCAAAAAATATTATAACTTTGATACCAAAACTAGCAAAGTAAGAAATAGTATACGAATGTTTCAATATGAATTTGTTAAAAATGCCAATGTTCTTGTGACGCTCAACTATAACTTGTCAGTCTAAGATTCACATAAAATTCTTATGACAGACTTATCAGTGCCGGATTTGCATTAGGTAAGATAGGCTGAAGCCTTGACATTCAATTTCGAACTGCTATTCATTTATAGCTCGTTTTTAAATTTTAAGGCTTGTTCTGGAATTTTACCGGTTCAATCATATTTAAAACTGACATATTCTTATTTTTTGCAACAAGGTTATTGATTCTTTTCGAAAATAAATATATTCTGTTTACAAGGTTAAAAATTTAATAATAAGTCGAATTAATGTATTTTTTCAAATTTGCAAAACTCTACCACTTCAATTTAACCAAATATACCAATTTATAAGAATTGACCAGTTTTTAAACCTAATAATCCCTTTATTTTTTGAAAAAGGTAATTAAATATCGATATAGACTATTTCTATACTGAATAAACTAGGCAGGAACGAATCTAAGAATAATCCGTATATTACAATAAAATCTAATTATAGTGTTTTATTACTAGTGATGTTTTATTTATCACCTCTCGCGACTAGAAATTGTTGTTATGCAGTCGGTTACCCTGTGACATGACGTTTTAGTACAGCTTCGGATTCTTGTAGTGTTTTGAAATTTAACTTATTATTCAATCTACTTGGGGTATTAGCGTACGCATATTGTTCGTAACTGAAATTTGGAATTTTACACAATTACAAATTTCATTAATGATGACATAATATATTTAACATACTAACTACAATCATATTATGTCGTTTTAATTGATTCCTGGAGGTTTATGGCGTGACTGTTGGAGAGGGGATTCACAAATGAAAATCGTCTAAAACCGGCCCTGCTTGTCATATTATGTATCTCACACTTTAATAAATTTTCGTTCATAAACATATTTCTAACGTTATGTAAATTGTATATTTCATTCAGTGAATTTGATGAAGGGTGGGGTCATATGTTACAAAATAGTTTAAGTGTGATGGAAACACCTTACGGGGGGAAGATAAAAATGAACACAGCAAAGGGATTGCCGTTTATCACTGTACACCTGAAGGACAAAACGAAAATAAGGTGAAATAAATTGAAATATTTATTGTTTCTCCAATTACTTTGAAATAAGGTTGAGTCATGTGGTCTTTGATCCCCACGTATTGTGTATACAGCACTGAAGTGTATTGTATACAGTCATATCGCACATTACAAATTCTTGAAGTAAACTTTTACGCCATATTCGTGTCAGAAGAAAATCAATTGGTGCACGCATATCCGCCACGTGTTTTCAAAAGTACTTTTGATTTTTTCTAAGCTAAAAGATTTGTTCTTGCCTACAAATTGTCCTCTCTAACGTTGCAATACAATACCTCCTTTAGATTAAAATGGGGTAAATTCAATTTACGATATTTTTCCAGTTTTCACTGTTAATATATCAATAGCAGTCATTTATTGCTCCTGGATCTTTGGTATTTAATATTTCAGACAAGGTAAACGATGGTCTCAATGCATGTATATACACGCTTTAAAGCAACAAAGCAACATTGAAAACACATTTGTTCTGGCACTGGATGGTGATGTTGATTTCGACCCGAAGTCTGTAATTTATCTTCTTGAAAGAATTAAAAGCGAAAACAAAGTTGGGGCGACATGTGGACGAGTTCATCCGATTGGTAAAAAATTGTCTTTACTGTTGTTTTATTAGAGAAATCCGTGATGACTTCATACTCTGCATTCAATTATTTGAATGGGGAATTGAAAAGTCGCCATCCTTGCACTACAATGTTCCTATTGTTTGTAGTTGATTTTACGCAGGTAAAGGTCCCGTCGTTTGGTTCCAGAAATTCGAATATGCAACTGGACACTGGTTACACAAAGCAGCAGAAGACGTTCTTGGATGCGTTTTATGCAGTCCGGGTTGCTTCAGCCTATTTCGAGCAACAGCTCTCCTAAACGTGTTGAACGATTATAGTAAAATTGCAAAGACTCCCCTGCAAAGAATGCAATGGGATCAAGGTAATGACTGGCATTAGCACAATATAACTAGTTCCAAGACTAATGGGTACAAGATTTCATCACACTAAATATCACCTTAAGAATTTATTTTTGAAACCATTTGTGTTGGACTTTTTCATCAAAGTACTTTAAAAAACAGACTGTTAAAATAAATATACATACCTAACAGCCATCAATCACTCTGATATAAACAGCGGAACTACGAATTTTAATGGTTCCTTGATTAATTGCATTTGTGATTTCTTACACAGCAGTACCGATTTGATTGGTACGACATAACGTTATTAATTTTAATACTAACACTTTTCTTCCTAAAAACAAAGGCATCTTAGCTCATTCGTTCCAGGTGAAGACAGATATCTATGTACTTTGTTGATAAAAGACGGGTATAGGATCGAGTACTGCGCCGCGGCAGAAGTCAAAACGTTTGTTCCAGACAACTTCAAAGAACTATTTAAGCAAAGAAGGTGAATACAGTATTATATAAAATCAACCGCTCGAGGCGGTCGCAGCATTTTTAAAAACAGCAATTTTTAATTTGATAAAACTTATCTTTCAGACGCTGGGGACCGTCAACAATAGCGAACTTGTATGATATCCTGTACAACGCAAAACTGATTGTAAGAAGAAATGAAACCATTACATATTTATACATTTTGTTTCAGGTGAGAAACTCGTCAATACTCAAATATTATTGATTAGGATTAAACTTGTAGTTGATTAAAACACGTTATGCGTATCTTACAAACAGATTGGACAAATAGCTGCTTCGTTATTGGGGCCATCAACACTTCTTCTTTACGTAAATGTGACTTTACAATATGTATTTGGATTCAACTCAATAACAAGTTTACTGGCTTCATCGATACCAGTCGTGGGGTTTGTCATAATTTGTTACTCAACAAAATGTGATTTTCAAATTTCGGCGGCACAGATCTTGACTGTCTTCTACGCTATGGTGATGATAACTGTTCTAGTTGGAGTAATTGGACAAGTTGCAGACGGTAGGTTAGGAAATAAACATATATATATATGTGGTGAAATTTTCAACATTATTAAATTTTATTCATAGTGAACAGACACTACTTGTTAACAGATTTTTGTTATTTATACTTCAGATATTTGGAACCCGGCATTCTTCTTTTTAATTTTTATGCTCGCAATATATCTAGTGGCCGGTATATTACACCCATCAGAAATTTCGTGTCTAGTGTTCGGCATACTTTACTACATTTGTGTGCCGTGTGCCGCCATATTCATTGTGGCTTATAGCAAATGCAACATTCATAATGAATCCTGGGGAACGAGAGAGAAGCAAATAATCACTAAAAAACAAAATCCGGTAAGTTTGTATAATAAGTGTGAAGATGAAATAAATTGATATGCTCCAAGCAGCATTCCCCTCTGGCATGTTGAGTGCGCGTCAAATAACATATGGAGGCTACCGGTGAAACATCTCATAAACACATCAACACTCTCGCGATAGTTCGCAGCGCTCTGATATCAAACACCCCGTATGTGTGGTATGAACAAAAATCGATTGGCTGTTTATTTGCATCACTTGAATGGCTGTTTATTGAATCGACAGTTAATGCATATTGGGTTGCATGCATCTCTAGCAATTGGCTAATTCTGGTGATATATGCAAGTTACCAACCAATCAATTCGAATTGGGACTAAAGGATCTAATATTTCAAACGATATATATGTTCTAAGATGAACTCATAATTTATAGACACGATGTTTTTGTTACATAATGTGGCTTCAAGAGAATCGCGTGTTCTAAAGTTAATTCTATTACTTATAAGTATTACCAAGTCGTTCAAGGATGGCTTTGGTATGGCGATCATATGCCATTGCAATTGAATAGTTACAATCTATATTTTAATTCATACAAATAAAGTATGAACAATAAAGTTATGAACTGTTTTTTTAAATATGATTCCAATAACAGGAAAGTATATTTCCATTGTATTCCAGAAATCGAATTACCAAAGCTACCTCCTATCAAGTGTAGGTAATGGAATCAAACGTTTATTCTGTATCACTACGAACATCGAATATAGTGAAGTTCCAGCTACTGATACAGAAGTCGGAAAACCAAGATTAGCAGATACATCGGGTAAAAATCATAACTTTTGTGTATTAAACGTTTGAAATAAAATTGAATTGGTGCCAACTAAATAAACGTAATAGAATATTGCACATATCAGACCTATTATTTTAAATGTTTTATTTCACCAGGAGATACAAATGGAATGCAGAGAGAAACGACAACGGTATAGTTTGTGTAAATGAATCAGTATTATCATTCAACAATACATATATATATATATAATAAATTATATATAATTGCAATTCCGTATACAATATATATATTAATGGTCCCAATTTATAAAAAAAATCTTTTTGAGTAGTGGAATTTCATACTTTCAAATAAAAGCTAGTATGTTTTTTTGCCATTTTTTAAAATCAACATCATTAAGCTATTTGGTCTCAACAATACCATTTTGAAAAAAAAACTAACGGACATTTTTAGAATGTTTCTGATTCTACAAGTCATTCCTGGACAGGAGACAAATTCTTTAGTGGAAGAAAATCAAGGTAATGCTCACATACTATATAAAACAGGTAGAAAAACTATCATTCCGAAAATGGAAAATCATAATATTTTAAATTTATATAAATATTTTGCAGCTATCTTGAAGATAATGAGCTTAAACTATTAGAAGATCAAGTTAAAAACTTTACCCCCGTTGACAATGACGAAGAAGAAAAACGGAAGCTCAAAATTGGTTTAAAAAAGTTACGAAATCGAATATGCGCTGGATTTTTCATCATCAACATAATATGTATTCTTCTGTCATTTTCTTTAACGTTTGTCCTGGATGATGTCGATATAACTCTGTATGACAAATACGGAAATCCTTTCATGGTGAGCTCTCAACATATATATATTATTTGGTGTACTAAGTGGTATTCAAGTATTCACGAGAAATGTCACGAGAATAATTCTATTTGCAACCACACCAGTTTAATCCAGTCCTTTTAGCATGCGTTCAGATTTCTTTTATATTTGATAACCTGTACGTTCAGATGAGTTTGGCAAACAGGCAAATGATGTTGATTTGTTTAGTGTATCCCTATTAGCATAGCCTAAACGTGCAGCCTAATACTGAAGAAATTAAAATTATGTCTTTGAAATATTTAGTTTGATCCGATGGCATTATGTGTTCTGATATTTTTTGACATCATTCTCGTCGTTCAATTCGTCGCGATGCTTTTTCATCGATGGCACACTTTCCTACACTTAATGAAAGGTACGGGCCTATTTCCTTCAGAGTGGGTAGGGTATATATATATATATATTGGGACTTCTGAACTCTATACAACAAACTCCAAACGTAAGATGATGGATTGAAAACGGTGCGTATGTAACAACAGTACTATTTAGGTGTTTGGTAAATTTCACCCAGAAAGGTTTTGATTAAATGATTGTCTATCTAAGATATCATCATATATTTTTCAATTTTTTTTTTTTTTAAGAAACATTTGAACAGCACGACTTCAACTGACAGGTGGTACTCAAAGAAACACACGATTCTCCGCCTACAGTGTCATTTCAGAATCATACATGGCATCATGAACCATCTATATCAAATGATACGGCCAATCATATCACAATGTACCAAAAAGTGTTTGTTAGCTTCAACAAAAAATGATTTGATCACATGTCCCAAAACTGTACCAACGCGAATATCATCAATTGCTTTCACATGTGTTCAACTGCCTTTTTCAATTCAATTGCATTTGTTGTTGACTACTTGAATATACTATCTGTGGTAACTAAAACATCTACTTCCAATCACGCGTGGTGCAGGGCGTTTCCGAAATTAGGTCTGAGCTCATTGAGTGTTTCAATGGCATTCAGAGCTCTCCGGTTTGGGACGAACGCTCTGTGAGGGAGACGGCAGGTCTAAAGCGTCTGCTAGAAGATGGTGAGTTTTCATTTTTTCTCGCTTTTTTCTCCACAATATTCTATCACGTGGATGTATTATACGGGGCATTGCAGTCAAGGCTAATGGATGGAGCGTCTGTGCAGTCGTGTATTTCAGACTTCTGCGATGCTGTATCTCGTATCCGGGAAACAATAAAATACGACGACACATGGAGTGCTCCTTTACGCCGCGGGCAAACAACGCAGCGTTTGATTTTGTCTGCAAAGGAATGCTGTGACATTCTGGTGAATCAAATAGGCGATCGTCTGCGCACTGAACACCTTGCCGCGTTCTCTTTGATGAACCCCAAAAAATTTTCAAAATTTGCACGTCAATTTCCCATCCATTTGTTGGCTACTGTCTCCAAATTTTACCCCATGATAAACGTGGGTAAATTGGAAAATGAATTGCGATGTATATCTACCAATCAAACTTTTTTGAACATCACATCAACTTGCGCGCTTTATGGGTTCCTCATAGATAACACTCTATTAACTACCTTTGCGGCGTCTGCAAAATTGCTGGACATCATTTTGACGACGCCTATTTCTTCCGCCGACGAAGAGCGAACATTCAGCACGCTGAAGCGTATTAAAACGTATCTCAGAAACACAATGAAACAAGATAGATTAAATTCCTTGGCTGTTTTATCCATTCACAGAGACGTTATTTCTGGGATGCATGACTTTAATCAGCGCGTTATTGAGCATCCTGCTTCCAAGAAACCGCGGCGTGTTGCATATATGTTCAAGCAGTAGAAGTCTAGCAGCATATATATCTATGAGTGAGCGACGCATGTCCTTATCTTTGCATTACCTTTTCTTTCTTCATAGTAACGTTTTAAACCTTATTTTAGGTTTTGTCTGCTTTCCCGAAGTTTCTGTTAATATGTCATTGTATTTATCTGGGTAAATATTGCCTTTCCTTTTGAAAGAGGTTTCAAAATAAACTATGTCTATATTTATTAATGATAGGGGGAATTTCATTTATGTAAATAGAACATACACTGTATTTAGTAACAGGTATATATGGAACAATAATAGTGAATGTCAGTAGGACTGATGCGCCTGGTGCTTCTTTACTACTGCTGAAATTTGTAGACGAATGTGAGAGATGCATACTCTCTTAACTCTTCATCCGTGTTTCTAAGTTTTTTTTATTATGTATTTATTTTTTATTCCTAATATTATTTAGGCAAGAGAATCCTAGCTCACATATATATGGGTAGAAGGTTGAGAATTGAGAAGAAGACCTTGATGGCTTTTTTGCTTAAAGTCGGATATTCTTCCATAACAGAAATAAAAAAAAGGCGTCTGATGGCAGTTGTGCGTACTTTAGTTTTGAAGCCCTCGATCACTGAAAAGACTTGTTAATTCTTCCTCTTCACGTAAGTGAAAATCTTTCCATATTTGTGGCCTATAAAACTAAGAAAGCTTTCAATTAAAATGCGCGTCTGTAAGTCGATATGATAACTTTTAACTGTCTATTGAATTTGGAATCACTTGAAATAAATTCAAAAATGAAATATTTTTGCGGCACACTGGTAATCATTCTGTGGCACACTAATGTGCCGCGGTACGGCTGTTGTAGTCCATGCAACGTGAATTTGGTGCCTAACAACTGCAGCCCAAGCAGAAAGCACATCATGAAAAAGTAAACGCTTTTACACTACGACATCAGTGGCATCTTCCCTAGTTGAAAGCGGGGCCGGTTATAAGCCGATTTGATCAAATTGAAAGGGCCCCGCGCTAGTTTGGATATCAGTGTTACACTCTGCACCACGCTTTCTCCAAGAAAGGGAAATTTGACGAAACAATTCTATTCGTCGTTTTGAACTCGGCAATACGGCAGAGGCGGGAATTCTTGCATTTAAAAGTAGGTCTAGCAATTAATTTCTGTCACTAAGCAGGAAACATGGATATATTTCCGACAATTTGCGAACTATACAGACGGACTGCAAGATCATACCCCTGAAAACCTTGGTCCATGGATGTGTCGCAACTTGCAAAACACATCCTTTAATTATAGCGGAAACAATGGCCAATCGATCAGCAATGTGCCAACGGTGAGGTTAAGCAGTCGCTCACACATCTTCTCACTCTGACAAATTTTCTAGTAAGATTGTGAACATTTAATAGTTTTTGTAGTGTACTAGTTTTCAGTTTCATTTTTAAAATATTAGTATAATCAAACAACCAAGCCGCCATTTCCTTAGCGTTTTACTTTAGTCGCAGTAATCAAAAGATGAATGGTCGAATTTTTTTAAAACTAGCTGTGTATTTTGTGTGAATGGAAATATTGGAGATGTAAAGCACTCTGCACGTCCAACTCGTGAAAATAGTTTCAAAAGAAGCGTTACAATTTCGCAACAGTGAATTGTAGGTAGATTGAATCATAGGGTCGGGGAAAACATCCATTGGACTACAATATTGCTATCTACCGCTCCCGGTTTAGCAGGTGTGAAAAGCAACGCTTTGGCATTGGCACGATACCACAGAGAGGTTTTTTTGAAGACATTTTTCTGCGATGGTAGCCCTGCCAGATTGCGGACTTATCCACCCAAAGTAGCACCTAACCCACTGGTAGCTTATCGGTAATATCACTACGACACACGGAGAAGTTTCCTATCCATGGAAACCACTGCCGAGTCTGTAAGCCCACCAATCCCTTTTTGATCAAAATGCCAACGAATGCCGCAAAGATCTATTTGACTGAAATTACCTCACCTTTGCTTCACCGGGAATCACTAACAAGCTTATTCACCCCAAACAGTTTGCACGGCAAAACAGGGGACATGAAAGTTCGGAAGAGGTGGATGTTAACAAAATGCAGCCACCCCCATGTCGGCTAAATGTATATTGGAATCAACGCGATATTGAACAGAACTGGTTGGACGTACGCGCGGCAGAATTACAACAAAACTCTCAAGCTACATGTGAAGCAGATCTGTTAAAACACCACAGACTTGCTTGTTTTAGCTTCAAGGCGATTGGGTCACTAATACAATTTTCGTTGAAACAGCAAAAAGTTATGTCCCCAATTGAATAAAGAGTTGCGTTTTTAATGCACAGCTTCGTTACATAACCTGAACCGCTCTTTACCGTGTGTATTCATCCCACGTGGTACCCGGAACATGCCCATGTTTAAAGAAGGTGCTTGGATTTGCAAGGTTCTTTATCCTATTGAACGGAATATGCTAGCAACTTCTGGTTCCCGCTATTTTCAAAGAATCATGGTTATCCCTGCTTTTAATATTAGGTATCAGTCTTCGCATGGCGAGTCAGAAATACCTTTTATTAACCTCCATAACAGCTGCCAGAATTAACTTGGCGCGTCGGTGTGGTAAGCGTTAGGAATACGCTCGCCACCGCACCTCTGATTACTTTGCGTGGGTTCGCAGGTTCGAATCCCATGCGGGGATAGTTATGTGCGAGAGGATTGCTGACTGCTCGCCGCCGTAGGGTGGTTCACGTCACGTTCAATCAAGTCCATGCTTATGAAAACAAATAACTAACTAAACCCATACTGGCCGTGGTTCGCCATACGGTTAAGCCGTCTTATCGACTTTCCTCTCCCCCAGGATAAATATGTACCGTAAATCTTACTAAAATCCATTGAAATTGTACACGTACTTTTGGAACCCCGCACTTGTTAGATAATTGGAACAAACATTTTTAAAATGAAATCATATGGTAATAAAGTATGCAACGGCCAACGGTCCGTCATTACATGCCGATATTCAACTTTGTGCTCATAGCAACAACAGGAATATGTTTTGTAGCAACTAGCAACGTCTGTGTATATGTAACCATCAAATCGAATAATTTTAGAATGCAATCTCTAATATTCCGAAGATATTTGAATGAACAGCTACGACGTTATTGTATGTGATTTTATTTTATTGGGCCCTCCAGACACAAATTTCTGTAAACATGGAATCCATCGCTCAGTCAGTTCGCAATGACTAGCCCTATAAAAGTCAGACAATAGGACCTGGCTCACCATTTGATTATGCCATGGTATGGGCTACATACAGCACACACAATCGCAGAATAGCACATCATCAAGATCCCATTAATTTGATTCGATTCAACCTTTCTCTCATGTTAGTCCATTTTTCACTTGCTTCCCAGAGTTCATCGGATAATTTTGAATTGCAAACTTTCAAGTCACAAACCTTTGATATTTCTTGACAGTCACTAATGAAGAAAATCAGATTAATAGTCAGCATTCATACACTTGTTTTAGAACATTTAGAAGGACATTCAGGTTCCACATTAATGGAATTGATGTAAAACAATGTGGATATGCAGAAACTTGTCCAGAAATTTCTGTCCCCCTTTTATCAATAATAATTAAAATTAAATAACACTCATAAATAGGCAACGGAGCACATACACAACCATCGTGTTAGTAAAACTTTGTCTCAAGGTTGGCTTCAACCCATTCAAAGGCAATAATAAGGCAACCCTGTCACACATAACTTCATGAGCAATGTTTGAAATAGAGTACACTGCCAGCAAGAAGCCATGATTGCTGTTTAGACTCGTAAAAAAAAATATACTTACTGAAAATAAGAACCAGATGTTTTTTCAAGTTCTGCTGCAACAGACAAATAATACTAGTTATATATATATATATATATATATATAATACAAATACTAGTTTGAGCAGCTTGTACAGGTGTTTTCATTGCAATCCACTGAAATGGTCCTGAAAACATGGGATTGATAAAAGAAATGAACATTCTGCTGTTAACTAGTGGCCAGCCCAGATTTAGTGTTTTGGCATATAATGCGTTTAACATCTTCTATAAATGAAAATGACCAGCTTATTTATATTATTCCACAACTGGTTACGATTAACTGAACAAATTCATTCGTACAAAACAAGCTCTTCTAGCATTAAAAAAAATTATATAAATAATGGAAATCTCACTGTAGATGTGCATCCCGAGTGCATAGATAGGTGCTTTAGAATGTCTTCCAATTTGTGTACTAGATAAGCCTGGATTAACAGCATTAACAGTGATATTTGATTGCTTTCGTGAAAGTGCTTCTGTGAACAACATAACTGCAAGTTTGCTCTGATAATAAAGTTGCGAAAGTTTTTCATCGTCTTCATCTAATTTAGATTTGTCGATATCATTGATATCAATCTGAAAATGACAGTATTACCTTGAAGCTGTTTTAAAATATCTTGATAGCTGTAACATTTTTATTTTACATGTGTATTTACTCACATTGAAATTTAAATTCCCCAAACAAATAGTTTTTGAGAGATGAAACACGTGGCATGTAAAGCAGTTAATACCCAGTCGATCAGTAAATTCTAAATGTATGTAATGAAGAAGATCTCATTTCTGATTTTATATCACAACAGGCATACATCACTCATTTTGAAGAATATTTAGTCTGCTAGATTTGTATGAAAACATATTTTGGTTCTAAGATACAATACCTGGATATCTTTCTTACCTCTCCTTGTGAATATGCCTCTGATGACAAATTTATGACCCTGCCATTCGTCATTTTGTCCGACAACAGATGGGTTAAAAGAAAATGGCCTGGAGGATAAAACACATAATTTATTTATATACACCATTTTCAAAAATGATGTGGAAATCAATATAGCAAAATACCTGTACAGCAATTCCATAAATTAGTTGAAAATTAGGTAAAAATTTTATCTTGCCTAATTGAAATATTGAACTGCAGAAAGTGTAGGACATATCTTGAAGTTTTTAAAATCGCATGAGAAGGTACATTTATGGCTTAAAATAATTGTTTTTTCTTCAGCGGAATAATTGATGATTTACTGCCTAATTTTCTTCAGTTTTGTAACATAAACTCTCATGCTATTTATGTTACCTTAAAATGTATTTGTTCAACCAAAGTATGTGTTAAGTTTTACCTCTGATATCTGTGCTTAATATAAATATTGCACTGTGCACTATTGGCAACACTGGGCTAAACAGAGCTGATGGGAATTTGCCTTGTGTTGTCACTCCGTGACATTTTTTCAACTTTATTTTAATTATCTGATATATTTCAATAACTATTTGCCTCAAAAACTGAGACGTCACTTACTCACTTTGGGGGTTGGGCCCAATAATTTACCAATTTGGCAGTTGATAGTTGCTTGTTTTTCTTTCGTAGCCCTTATAGAGATCTCGTCACTCCGTGACGTCACGGAATGACATAAGTATGCAATTTTTTGAAAATATTATTTTTCTGTACGCGAAGTACTATAATATTGGGTTTGAACTGCAAATTCTTCCGCTTTGCCCTCTACTTACTTTGGATCTTACCCACAATGAAACTTGAATGACATGATTGAATGGCAATGGCAACTTTTTTAAAACTATCGATGACCAAAATATTCAATCTAACATATGCCGGTTTTGACAATATGAACGAACTTATTGTAGACTACAATTGAAAAAATATGTAATCTGTTGGAATGGCAGAATAAATATGACAAAATGCATTGTTTTGCAATATAATTCGACATTTTTGTAAACATCACAAACAATATTAAATCTCAAGTTTTAACATCGACATCTGGATTTTGGTATATATCCATTTATCGGGGTAACTCATAGGATGCTAAAAATATTGTGAAATGCAAAATAAATATGCGGTGTTTGTCAAAAATTGAAGATACTCCCAATTAGAAAACGCCAGTGCGTCACTCATTGTCACCAATAATTATTTTTACGTGCCAACTATATCATGAAGCTGGAAATAGCAAAAATGATGCAATAACGAATTTTCGCAGGGACATATTTATCACTGTCTTCTTGTTCGGAATATGCAGACTAAGAAAACTGTGTTTGGGGCCTACCGATTCTATGTGTGCTTTGCAAGCAGATGCAAGTACTACCTAACAAGAGAGACTTCAACACAAAAGAAAATGCTTTTCTATGTTTAATAAATTAGATATCCAAATACTAAAAATCTAAAAATCGTCGCATGGTGCAAATTTTTTTTAACTGAATTGCACGTATCCTTTTAACGGATCCTCCAGATTCTGTATTTTGAATTGCCCATTCTTTGTCAAGTCACTGCAATAAGATTCCAGATATATAGGAGTGAAATAGTTATGTCTGTTTCATGTTGTCTGTGCATCATAGCTTTTAACTTAACTATATCGAGTATCAATAAAGTTAGTGCACTCGTTTAGCACATTAATATGAGTGACACACAAGCAGAACGACAAAAAAATATCATGTTTCCCAATTCTTTGTTTAAATGTTTTGTAATTACAAAACAAACAACCAATTTTGACCTAATACAACTAATTGTTCAACATTCTTAATAACATTTCAATGACAAGGGTTTTTTGTCACTTCGTGACGTCACGGAGTGACATGCGACTAGTTCGGCCGTATAATTGGGCTGCTTCCTAGAAAAATGTTTGTTGTACAATAAATTTTGCATAAATGTTGAGATCAATATCTCTAGAATATAGAGACAAGTTATTATTATTGATATGTCATGAAGCTTTTGACGAAATTTGGTTGATATATTGCAGTCATTTTATGCATTCAACTTTTTGTCACTCCGTGACATCACTTGTTTTAGCTCGTCGTTTGAAAAATATTTGGCTGAAAGTGAAAAGTGAATTATGGTAAATACATCAGTGTTACTGCTACCAATTGGCATTCTAAAAATAGCAAACCACCAAGACCTTGATATAGTAAAATTGATTAAATGTGTGGAATGTCACTCCGTGACATTTATGGAATTGCTGTGTATAATTTTCACAATTTCAAATAAAAATTAAAAATGACCTTAACACAATGAAAAACAATTATAAATACTTGCATATACCTAGATAGTTGACACCAAACTGTCTTTCAAAATTATCTTTTGTGCGAGGTGTTGTCTTTGGAGGCCTCGGTTTCATAACTCCTGCATTATTTATCAAAACATCTATATGTGGTAGCTCTGTAAATAGAAACATTGATTTTAGTTATAAAAATGTGCAGAATATTCATATATAAAATGCAATAGCAAAAATTTTCAAAATCTAAATTTTCACTCCATATAATCGAATATTGCCAAGTGGGTATGGTATGATGAATTTTGCAAAAAATATACTTGAAAAGTGGGAAAAAGAAATGAGTATAAACAGCACAGCATAATCTAAACCTCATGAAATAATCCACTTACATCCAAATTAAGCTTTGACGCTTGTAAGATAACCTTTTTCATTTAGTATAAAAGGACCGAACCAAATTTTCTGATATATCAGTTATGAGCTTTTACCCTTCCGTACATTTCCAGCAAATTCTTCTACTGAGTCTAGATCAGCCAAATCAATAAATCTGCAAACAACATTGGAATTTTCTGTATTCATTCTTATTTCTCTTGCTGCTCTTTCACATTTTCCTATATGCCGACAACCCATCACTACAGTAGCACCTGAAATAAGGATACTCTATTTAATGATGATTCAATATAGTCCATCACAGATAATGTATAACTGTAATTAGTCACTGCACAACTGAGCAGTTACATATGAAATGAGTCATTACCTCGTCTTGCAAGTTCCTCAGCTGTTGATTTACCAATACCAACATTTGCACCAGTTATAACACAAACTTTTTCTTTCATTTGCTCTTTAGAAGGACATTTTCTTCCACCTTTGTATTCTCTATAATTGTAAATAGGGTTATTTCACCTTTTTTACGGAGTCGCCTGCGATATACAGTTCATTAAATTTCATCAATTGCCTTCCACTTATCAGATGAATAGTTTGTTTTCAAACCGATTACATATCAATAAATTTAGTTCGATAATTTGAAAACACAAAACTCAATGGAAAAACCAAATTATATAACAGAAATGTTCGAAAATGAGCAAAAACTGAGAATGAAATTGATAATGTGTAATGCATTTACTTGTACACTGAAACTAACACAAATAAAACACTGGTGAGCAGCAGTGAGGAATTCGGGGTCTCATATAGTTTTGTACCTAACATACTTCTAGTGGGCGTAGCATGACACTTTTTTCATGTATAAATCCTAACCCCCACACCATCCAAAAATTACATTATTACGACGTCACAGTGACGTAATAGAGCCCTTCAAACTATATGAACTGCCATCCTAGACGCGCAAACAAGCACCCGAAATCGAACAGTTGTTTCTCTCGTTTTCTCGTCGCAACGGTTCCAATAGGAGAGAGATCGATAGGATAGGATTTACATATTTATCCCGGGGGAGAGGAAAGTCGATAAGACGGCTTATCCATATGGCGAACCACGGCCTCTCGTCCGGTTACCATTCCAAGTCGGGTATGGGATTAGTTTTTACTGTAATGTTTGTTTTCGGAAGCATGGACTTGGTGGAGGAAGCCGTAACCGACCAGCGGTTACGTGAACCACCCAACGACGGCGAGGAGTCCAGCAATCCTCTCGCACATAACCATCCCTGCACGTCAGTCGTCATAACGTCAGTCAGTTCTTTATCGTCGGCGCCAATGCCATTACGGCTGTACGGCGATCGTACGTACATTTGGCAAGCTCTATGACCTGATTATGATGTCGTAGTGACGTAATTTTTGAATGGCGTAGTCAGATGGGGGTTAGGATTGACATATCAAAAAATTGTTAGGCTACGCCCACTAGAAGTACGTCAGGTACGAAACTACACGAGACCCGAAGTTCGTTGGGCTTTTCATATGATGGAAAAGTGAGGCACACATACAGACATAGTTGAAGGAACTACAATAGAGTTTCCAGGTTTCATTTAAGTCAACGCATTAGTGTAGTTGGTCAATATTTACAAGTGATTAAAAAGAAAAATCAAAATTTTCATTGATTTAGGATCCTTGCAGTACTATCATAAGGGATTCGTTTTACTGACAACTTGTTTATATTTCCCTTGAAAACCATAAATTTTGCATGTGATAGTGCTGATATAACCGTTACTCCGATCAACAGAGCAAATATTTTCAATTTCAACTTACTTGAGCAATATCACTCCTCCAGCGAGAGTAGACACAAACGACAATGGTACAATAATGCGGTTGAATAAAGGAGTGTTAAAAGCGGACATCTCCGAGACAGAAACTGCAAAATCTGTATTCAGCCAACAAGTCAATAGCACAATGCTACAGGCAGCTTGATTTTGCCATTGGCATAATGGTTGTATACATTGAAATGGCTCTCAAAATAAGCACCAAAACAATGGTAAAGCAATGATAAAGCGTAGGAATCATATTCCCGGGAATAATTTTTCGGGGGTCAGGGGTCGAGGTTCATCCGTAATAGTCAAATGCTGAGGGCGCACAGGGTCGTGAGTCGTGACCCCAATGTCTTATCATCTGTCCTCTATTAAAAATAATAGATATACATGTCGTTGGTTGTAACACATAACCATATGTTCTTTCTTTCTATAATTATGATTGCAACTTTTTTAGGCTTGTTTTAAAAGTGGTTTCGCTGGTTGGCTTTTATAAACTGGTCTACATGTTTAAATCCATCATTTCAGTTCAAACCAATGTCATTGGTTCAAACTATTTAGCCTAGGCTACGGCACTTTCGTTTCTGTGGCGAATGAAGGCAAGCTCAGCTTATAGTTGCACGTTGAGAGTTCCAAGCATAAAACAGGTGTTGAAGGTGAAGCATCATCAGCAAAGGTGACCGACTACTTTTTTGCGCCTGGAACTCAAATCGAGGAAAATGTTGCAGCCATTGTGCAAAACAACACCAGAGTTATAGATTGGGCGTCAACTTCAGAATTCTCCATTTTAAATTTGTGTATATCATGGAGTATTCAAATAAACTATCTATCTATCGGATGACTGTTCAAAATGCCTTAAATAATATTCAACAACATGATACTTTGCACCTCGGAGTAGCAACAGGCGGCAGTGTGTGTAGTATGTGTGAGTGTAGTATTTTGCGCCAAACAATTTGAACCAAACTATTTATATGCCTATAGTACTCTCTTGGTGGACTTGACCAAATCAAGTAGAGAAGGGAGAATGCTAGGGTTGCTCAATATAGCGCTGATTTTAAAATCAATGTCATAATCGCGGCATTTCATCTATATGCACGGCAGTTCAATAGGAAATGTTCTATTTTTTTAATACATTACCGCAATCGCGTAGTCCATTATTATGGCATCCTATTTTATGAAGGTGCTTGTTTAATGTGCTGTCTGAAGTCGAAATTGAATTTTGTCCATTATTCGTGGTAACCACGTGAAATTCGTGGTGCTGTCTTCAATAGAGGGAAAATTATCTTGTAATGAAATGCTTGGTCATTGTGTATAACATGTTGATCATTCATTGGCGCAGGATTGTCGAATTTGTGAATTGTTGTGTGATTGGGATAATCATTTGTCCACATCGACTTTCGCCGCTGATACTTTTGCTATTTTGTTACCCGGAATGCCAACATGTCTAGGAGCCCATAGTAATGTGATTTTGCGTCGTTGTTCCTGTGTAACTCAACAATACAAGTCTGAATATTTGAGAATAAATTACTAATTTTATCCGAGTTATTATTTATAGCATGAATGGCAGATATACCATACGAAATTATTACTATATTCCATCTATAGTTATGTTTGACCATGTGTGGGCACTATAGATTGCAAAAACTTCGCAATCAAACGAGGAACAGTCTATGACCAGCCTAAAACCCATACGTAATTATCACATGGAACCTAAACCGCAGCGTCGCATTTGTCATCAATTTTTGGTCCATTCGTATAGATGTGCACGTGTGATTGATAGGATTCATTTATATAATCTAAACATATAGCTTTTGTTTGGTCAGGCGTATACCAGGGGAAAAGTATATACGATAATGTATTGTCAATATCAATTTCATCCAAAAACCATGGTGGAATTTCTTCGGCTTCAATAATACTAATGTTCAAGTTGGTAATATATATCGAAAATCCTAGCAATCATACCAAATTTACGAAATGTTGAAGAGTTGGAAAATATCTCAATGCCAGACTTCGTGGCGAGGATGGTCAACAAATGTTAGCAGTTTAGCTTTATATAAGAGACATAATTGTAGTCGTCGTATATTCAATGGCATTTTGTTGGAGCAAACTTGTAAAGATAAACTTATAGGCGTACTCATCATGTCATCTGGGGCGGTGCGTAGACATTGAGATTGGATCATTTCTATTTTTCTTATGGCATACATTGAGGCTGAAAAATACGCTTCCATACCATATTCAATAATGGGTCGAACTAGGGATCTGTACAATGACAAAAGAGATGATTTGGATTGGAGATAACTTCCGTTTTCGGGTGAAGAGCACAACTATTGATTTTGTGACCGAGATCTTGAAACCCCATTGATTGCACCAGGACTGAATACAATCCGATGAATTCTGAAAGGAAACGATTAAATCTTCGATTTTGAGCCCAATGTGCCATAGAGCGATATCGCAAACAATCCAACATTATCTGATGGAACAGTACTAGGCATATCGTTTATCATTATATTGAAAAGCAGTAGACTAATGACGCTCCTTTGAGGAACTCCGTTTTCTAATGAGAAAATACTTGAAACTACTCTAACCTGAAATGAGCGATTCGCCTGAAAAAATGCAACAAAAAGCCAAATGTTTCCAGTGACACGATTGTTGTACAGTTTGTATAACAGGCGGTATTTCCATATCATGTCATGAGCCTTTTCCATGTTTAGAAAAAGCTTTTTTTCCGTGTCTAGGGAAATGCAAATACACATCTTTTATTTCATTTGGTAAAGCCTTATATATATATATATATTTCATCGTGTAATTTTAGGTATGCATCAGGCGTAGATCTTCTTCACCTAAAACCCATTTGTTATCTACATATATGCCATTTTTTTCGATAAACCACTTCAGCCGGCGAACTATTATTCTTTCCAAAGCCTCACATCAATTGCTAGTTAAAGATATAGGCATATATGAAGACGGCTGGTCTTTTTGTTTGTTGGATTTCAGAATCGGAATTACAATAGAGCGCTTCCAGACATCTGCAATGCTTGTAGCCAATTAGTTCTTATGTAACTACAAAACTACACCGAATTGGCCCAATTCGTGAGAAACCCATGAAAAACAAAATTAATTATTCCCGCAATAGCAATTATCAATTTCTCGAATTTCAAATTTTAATAGCCTTTCTGTGCCACCCCATGTAAAAATAATTTTCATTTCCAATAAACTTCCAATAACGTAAATTCGAAATACCCTGTTAAAACCAAATTATCCACTTGAGAACAACTTTTTACATCTCATAATTGAAGTAAGTACGTGACCAGGACTCGATGACTTGGCAAAAACAAGTTAATTGCTAGTACTGTAATGAACTTTAAGAAAACACTTTTAATGTTTGATTATAGTATACCGAAAGATACCCAGAAACCGGGATGACGCGTTATTTTTTTAATTGTTAATGTAAAAATCCGTTTTTTTATTATATTTCAATTGCTTTGTAGAAAGCTATATATTCTGCAATGTGTTTTATGTGTTAGATTTGATCTAATTGTGTGTGTATTGTATTTCTGTGTATATTGTCAGAATTGCAATGAAACTCATAAAGTGTTTCAAACGTCTCTTTACTGCGCCGGAGGCTATCGACAGATAGACAGTTCAAGTTAACGAACGCAAAAAAAAATTATTGTCAGTCAATGCTGGAGTTATGATCCACAAACAGGATCAATCAACAAACAATTTATGTATAGTGGTAACCAATCGCTATATTTGGTGATTCCGACGTTTTATGAACGCGCAACCTCATGATAATCCATGGATCGGAAATATTTACGAAGGTTGACTTGCGATCTGCTTATCATCAAGTTCCGATGAAATCCGAAGACATGGACAAAACAACGGTAGTTACACCTTTTGGCGCATTTCGATATCACGTGACTACATATGACACTAAAAATTCTGGATCAACTTTCCAAAGATTCATCGACATGGTAATCTGCAATATTCCAAATGTTTTCGCTTATGTCGACGATATTTTGGTATTTTCCAAATCACTGAAAGAACACGAAAAGCATCTTAGACAACTTTCAAAGAATACACGACTACAGTCTAATACTTAATTTTGACAAATGTCTGTTTGGAGTACCTGAATTAACATTTCTTGGATATCATGTGAATAATATAGGAATAAGGCCTATCGAATCAAAGGTACATGCTTTAAGGAACTATACGCGTCCGAAAACCAAACGACAGCTACGTGCTTACTTGGGAATATATACTTTCTACCAAAAATGTTTACCTCATTGTGCTAACATATTGGCTCCACCTCATAAAATGTGCTCTCATTATTTGAACAAGTATCAGAAAATTACTTGGACCAAAGAACACGACGAAGCTTTTGAGAAATCGAAAAATACATCGAGTGATTTTGCATTATTGAACCACCCAGACCCAGAAGCAGAAATATCTCTTGCGGTGGACGCTTTAGGAGATTCTATTGGAAATGTATTACAACAAAAGAGAAATAAATAATGGGAACCATTAGGATTTTTCTCAAAATCGTTAAATCCAGCCCAACGGAAAAATTCTACTTTTGATCGGGAACTACTGGCTGCTTATCTAAGTGTCAAACTTTTTCAATATGATTTGGAAGAACGATTGTTTTTCATTCTATCTGACCATAAACCATTGAAGTATGTCCTACACAAAATTGCCGAAAGATCATCTCCACGACATGTTCGTCATCTTGATCATCTTGAAGTCAATACACAAATGACATGAAATATATTGATGAAAGCAGTGATGTGGTAGCCCATGCTTTGTCTAGCCTAGAGCGACAATCGCCGCATTCTCTCACTTGCCTACAACTCTAACATTGTCTTACATCGCTTTGGAACAACGTAAGAATTCAAAACTTGTACAATGAACCTAAAAGCATGGAGTTACGATTTGTGAAATGTAGTGACGATTTACATCTATTATGCGATTCAAAACTACCTACACCACGCCCAGTTATTCCGAAGAAATTCCGAAAACGTATATTCAATACGAATAATCAATTAAGTCACCCTGGAATTCGAGCAACTGAAGATCCTATTCAAGCAAGATACATTTGGCCAAACATGCACATTGACATTAGGAACATGTGCCGAGCGTGTATTTCTCGTCAATCATGTAAATTCACACCATATCACCTTTGCAAACTATCGTAACTCCAGACGAAAGATTCTACCATGTCAATATTGATATTGTTGGACCTTTACCACCATCTAACGGATATAATGATATACTTCTCGCTGTGGACAAATTTACTAGATGGGTCGAAGCT